GTGGCCTAAAGAAATGTCTAGTTCTTTATCATTTTTCATTGGATTCATATTTAAATACATTAATTCATTAAAATGACAAACAGTACCATAAAATTGTCTAGCTCTGCTTATTTGTGAATGTGTGTGTACATGATTAAATGTTTTATTTCATGCACTCTACAACTAAATGCCACGGATAGCTTCTGATGTGGCAGCCTCACGCAGAGATGAAAGTCTGGCAGCGGGCTGACGGTGGCCACCTGGGATAATAAAGACTGAGCGCTGTTGAGCAATTTTGGAACTTGAGAAAGGGGTGCTCTGCAGATCAGTACAATAGTGATTTATCCTCCATTTTTCTGATAATGTTGTATCTCTGAAATGAAAGGAATTTGGACCTTGGGAAGTACAATATGAATTGCATTTAATTTCATTATAAGGTCAGTCAGCATTTGCCCTGACAGGTCTAGTGCCTGAAAGGTTTTATTCTTTAATGCTTGAGTTGGACTTTGGAGCAAAGAGCCTTTCTTTATCCATATTTGAGGTTTCTTTCACCTTGGCATTGTGTCGTGAGTGTGACAATCTTCTCGAAACGAGTTTTCAACTAAAATGTACAAATTTACTTTGAATCTACAGTACAATTCATTTTGCACAAAAGTTTTTCATTCAGTTGTGCTTGACATGGCCTGATACTCGTTCTCAGCATGTTAAATTTCTCCTTTGTCACCTCCAACTCTGATTATTTCGTGTTTCATTATAGAGAATTCATGCCTCCCTTCTTCATAGCCCCTAGCTATCCTCTTGAACACTTGTAAAAGTCAAAGCTGAAGGTGTATCTACTACATTACTGGACAGTAAAATTTGAATTCCTCATAATTTTAACTGACAATTATTTTGTTAATGTTCTGTTAACATTTCTCGTGTCCAAGCAGTTGGCTCTTTGGTTCAAATTTTGCTCTCCAGGAAGACTGACCAGAAGAACTGCTCTATGAGAAAGCTGCATAGAATTAAACAAAAGCTAACCCAGATGTGTATTCTTTAGCCAAGCACATAATGCAGTTGTTGTCACTGACGTATGTTTGTGTTTTTGTTGTCGGACAACTGGACAAATGAGCGTTCACAGAAAGTTGGAGGCAGAATGTGTCTGTTTGATACTCTAAACTCTCAACCATGTCTGTGAAGATTGACAGCCACACATCGAAATACTCAAAAAGCTCTTCTTGCCTTTTTTGTTCCACTCTGAAGAGCATTTTGAAAAGCTGAAAAAGGAAAATGTCAGCTTGGTGTGGCAGGAAGGCTAAGAGCAAAAGATGTGCTTTGAAATCAAACGCATTAGTGAAGACATAAGTGTTTACTTAGGTTGCACTCTACATCCAGCACTGTAACTTAACTTTATTTTAGTGCCATAGTCAGCACTGTCACCAAGGTGACTAAAAAAGAGATAGCACTGGGTACATGCTATATGTTTGCATGCATAGGCACATTTTACTGACAGCCGTCTTACTGCTTTCATAAGGACAAGCTGGCAGTAGCTTTCAACAACTCTGCTCTCTTTAATCTCTCTGGAAGAAACATCAGTCTACACACTGTCTTTAGCTTAAGGTAAGTACAAAAGGAAAAATGGGTTTGTGAAAAGTAGGGACACTGAAAGTCAGAGTTGGGAGAGAGTCTGTATAATGACGTCATGCTAAATGCTTGAGATTAATTTTATAATCGTTAACAGCAATTTACCCAAATTTTATAACTTGTTTGTGGATAAAACTGATAAAAATTAAGACAAAACCTCTTTCCTGCCATAAATACCATGTTGTTATTACACATGTGAATCCCAGTAAAAAGTGATTATAAATTTAAACATTTGTATGAATTAAAGGTTTTCATTATGACAGATTTTAGGGGGAGTACCCTTACTTCCAGTGCCCATGGTGAAAAGGATTACATGCCCTGCTTGGTAGACTGGATCCAAAGGCAATATCAGGTGTACAGACTTACTGGAGAAATGCAACAGGGGCTGGGAGAACAGATGTTTGTATGGTATTTGCTTGACACCATGAGAATCAGAGACTGAGCCTCTTATACTGTACAAGTGCACTTAAGTCTGTAAATCATCTGGTATTTTATGTTAGTGTATTGTGGGTTGGAGCCAGTCTTCCATAATCCTTCCTCGACAGCTCATCAATGAATACAGTGGGAGCAAGGTTATGATGTTCTTGTATAAATGCATTACTCAGAAATTTAAACAAGGATTCCTCCTAACAGACTCACTGAACAAGTATGAAGTTAACTGGATTGGTGTATTTACTGTCATTTGAAGACATAATGTACTGGGTGGATAATGAAGTTATGTTTTCAATATCCAATCAACTGCAAATTTTAGCATCCATAATTTAAGCAGCTTGAGAGAGAATTGCTCTTCCTTGGTATCATTATTTGTTCATTAGGAGTGCTGCAACTGTGATGAGTCATGGATAGAAAAGAAAGCTAATATATTAAAAGAATGGACATGGAGGTTTTCTGCTAGGTATGTGAGAAAGAACCATGACATCCAATGTAGATGAAAAAGAATTGGGCAAGTGAAAAGGAGACTAAAGAGCCAGTGGAATAAAAAAACTGGATGACAGGATGACCAGCTGGCTAGGAAACAAGAAGGCTCGCTGACTGGAGAACAATGGAGAAACAGGATAGGTCATTAGCTAGGAAACAGCTGATCGGAAACAGGTGGACCCGCTGACCAGGAAACAGGAAGATTTGCTCTGCAGAGAGGAAGATGAAGTTTACAGTGAAAAGGGCTGATAAATGATCCCAGACAACAAAAAAGGGATCGGGATCAACTCAAGTTCCAGAGAGCCAGCACCGGCATGGCTTACCAATGAATATGTCCCTTTAGTAACACCTAGTGGCAGTGGCAGGAAATACACTAATATACCTTCTCTGTGCACCACCCAAGGGGTTTTCCCCAATATATCTTTTTTTGAGCTGTGTGTGAACGTTAAAGATAACAAGCCTTGAGTGTATTCAATTTCTGTATAATGTATAAAAAAATTCTATAATTTTTTTTAGAGATGTTGTAGAGATAACATTGCTATGTTTCAGCAATAACCAACTTAAGCTTGTTAGTTTATGTGGCTAATGATAGCTACTTCATATTATTGATTTCCTGTCCACCAAACATAACATCAGTTCTACCATGTGAAGAGCAAACTGAGTATTCTGGGAACCTGAGATGTAGAGCAATTCCCAGGAAATACATAAGCCGGGTGAGCTGTCAGTCTTTGTTTGAAATTTCAGCAGCTACCTATATGCTAATATGCAAGATAATATGTTACAGTTATTTGCCGCAAACAACCAGTTAATATTTCTGCTTGCACCTTAAAAAACGGACTTGCTTGGTCCAGGAGTAAGCAAGTTCGGAAATCCAAGGTATTCATGCTGAGGTTCAGACTGGAGGTCTGGTAGCCCTCTGGCATCCTGTGGGTTTTTCAGTGTTTGTAAGTCAGTGAGGTTTTAGTGGCACCTAGTGGTGTAGTTGCAGATTGCAACTCACTATCCTCTTCCAAGCATGCAGGAGAAACAGTGGCCACAAAACGCATAAAAAACATGAACTATCTTTGTCTCTTCTGGGCTACTGTAGAAACATGTTGGTTCAACAAGGCGGACTCCATGAAAGGGGACCCGCGGTGTCTGTAGATATAAAAAGGTTCATTCTAAAGTAAGAAAAACACAATGATCCCTAAATTTGGGTGATTGTACACTAATGAAAATATTACATTCAATTTCTGCCAATAGATCTTCCTAAATGTTACACACTGGACCTTTAACTAAACATAATAAACCATAACGTTTTTGAGGAGGAAGACTGTAATTAATTTAATCTCGTTTAATGTGCTATTTTGATATGGTAAGAATGCAAGGGACCGACTACCATACATTCATTTTAGGGTCAGACCTGCATGTAATAAGAAGGTTAACAAAAAATGTATCACAATCCCCAAAGAATGACTTGACTATACAATATTTTTTGGCTTTACACTGAAGCTCTCAATTACACTGCTCCTATTTAACTCATAACTCCCATTTGGTGTTTGATACATAATATATTGTATATATATCTTGTTACACATGAGCCTGTACGGTACTAGTCATGAGATATTGTCCTGTAAACTCCCGCACTGCATGAGCCCAGATCCTGAAGGCACCATCGTAGATGATGAAGAAAAGTCTGCAAAGACTGTTCTGTGGAGAGGTTGTTATGAATCTCTCAGATGTGAAGGAAATTGACTTAAAATGCAAACAAAGCTCTTACGTTATTCTTCACTTGGCAACAGATATGAGATATAAGTGGGTGTTGGACCCAAGAGATTCCTCCTTCAGTTCTTTCTGTGTGCAAGTTCATCTCGTGGTTATTAATTTTCATCTGCATAAAAATTGTGATTGTGGTTACTGCATAATGTAACTAATGTGTTCCCACTAGTACAAGAGATGGCTGGCATATTGTCTCAAATAAGTGACAAATGTTAAGTTAATGTCAAGTAATGGTTATGTGGTATAAAATACATGAAACACATTCTCCACATTCTCTTAATTTGTAGACGCAATATTCATATATAGTAATACTCAGACGACTCCACAAACAAATTAACATACACATTTTTCATACTCCATACTTTCAATCCTCCAAAAGGCATTTGAAATATGTTTTTAATGTTCTGTAGTTTCAGTAGTTTAATTGATGAAGCGGTATATATAGGCTATACCTATACACTCGGAAAAATACTTATTCATTGAAAATGTCGACAGTCTTTGCTACACAGAAACTGAGATATGTCTAAGCTATTTTTTATGTTGTTGTGACTCCACCAATGTATTTCTGGGGAAAGATCACAATAGACTACTAGATTTCAACCAACATTGTTTTTATTTACTGTTAACATGCAAGTCATCACAACAGTAGATATTCCACAAATATACGTAATCATATCTCATAATAATCAAAAAATAAGTAGTAAAAGTAACAATACCACAATGGAAAAACAAAAGACTCCATTACGTGTAAAAGTCTTGTATTAAAGATAGCAAAGATAGCAAGTATTAGCAGTAAAAAAAGGCGCTGAAGGATTAAAAGTAAAAGTACTAAATGAAGAATGATCTTTGTCATAGTGTTACATTATTGATAAACATCTAAGAAGTATTTGAGCTACATTTGACTACTTTCTTATACTGCTGGGGGGGTGTAAGTTTAGATCTAACCTCTTTCCATATCTAACACATTGCCCTGTAGTGGAAACCTCATGGTGACAACCTAAACTACAGGGAAAGCTTATTCTGGGTAAGTACAGACTAGAATTGGTAATCTTTTTAATAGTCACCAAAGACAGTCAAACACACACATACAATAAAAATCTAAACCTAACACAGATTATAATGTCAGAAATGCATTAATAGAGCTAAAACAAGGCTTATGTAGAAGTTTTCAGATCTGAATCTGAAAAGTAATGAGTAACCACAGCAGTCAGATTAATGTATATCAGCAAAGGGTAAAAAATAAATCTTTGTTTTGTAGTACAGTAAAAGAAAGTACTCTAGTTAAGTAAAATGAATGCAAATATACTGTACTTTTGTGAATGTACTAAGTAACTTTACACCTCTGCCTGATCCCAAATAATTCACTGGTCCCCTGCAGGAAACATCTACTATAAACAGACAGATTTCACAATTTGGATGACAGTCTGGTTTCACTGCTGATAATTCACCCACCTGTGACTTTCTGGCATCAGCATATCCACGTTAAATAAAGAGTGGTGGATATACATGACAGTGCTACTGAAAGTAAAGAGTGGGAGGACTGAAAAAAGCCACCAAGCTCATCTCATTGTCAGTAAAGATCAGTGACAGCATGAAAAATTGTAGAATTTTCAGGAATTACTGAAGCAACCATTCTCCCTTGAATTCATCAAAATAAAAATGCTGCACTGGAAAATTAAGTAATCTCTGCCACTTCTCTCTCTCTCTATCTTTTTAACTGTAATGTTATATTATGATAGCGGATATGTGTTCATTCATATTATCTTCGGTCTTGATTCATTTATTACATCCATACAAAGTGAATACTGTTCAGACTGGATTTTTTCAGCGCTGATCTCGGGAGATTAGCAGCTGTGGGTTAAAACTCTGACAGCAGGTAGCATGTCCTAGAGAAAATTAAGGGCTGCCCACACAGAAATGGTTTTATACTGAACCGTTAAGAACAGTAAGCACTGTTTTTGCTCAGTGAAGCACCAACTAGATTTTGTCTCTATAGCTTAGCTTCATAGCTTTCGCCTTCATAATGAATAGATATCCTTTGGCTTACATATGACTCAAGTAGACCAAACACCAATCCATCATCATCACGTCAATGCAGTTGGGTTCTACAAGTGAAGTTTACAGAATCAGCTACATCAGATTGTAGTTCAGCAGTAAAGTTACCTGCATTAGTTTTATTAAAATATAAATACACACTAGAGCTCAGGTGTGATTGGTTACCTCACCACAGTTGTCTTTCTTTCATAGCATATCTTTATTAAACATTAACTCACTCTTCCTAGTCCTGGATCGCTTTGTACTGGTATATCTTAATGCAATGGTGCATGCTATCAGACACTGCTAGTTGGCCCTCAGGTAGCAGGGTCAGGCCACGTGGACTACTCAAGCCCTGGGTTACTATGGGCCACCCTACTCCCTGTGCTGGGTAGAACAGGACTCTGTGCTGATCCCCCCAGTCTGCTACCAGCACATTACCATCTCTATCTATAGAGATGCCCCAGGGGCAGGCCAAGACGGGTCCCATACCAGCACATACACCCAGAACTCTCACTGTGTTCCAGCCTGGCTCAAGCACTTTGATGCAAGGAAGATGACCTGTTTCATTGCCCCTTTCGGACACAGCTATCATGCCTGAGCCCAAACAGGCTGCCACTAAGTAGGGACGGTGGAATCCGGTCACTACAGTGCGCTCAAGACGTGAGCCTGTTTTAGGGTCAAGCTTTAGGGCAATGAGGGTACCTTTCCGGATATCAGCTATCAAGAACTCATCCAGCCTGGTTACGGTCACACCCCTGGGAGCCTCAAGCTCATCTTTTGCAGATCCAAATCCTGACCCTCCAAAGGTCTGGAGCAGGCGACCGTGCCGGCTGAACACAAGTAGGGCTCGCTCAGCTGCACAGCTTAGTGCAATCAAACCCTTAGCATTGACAGCAATGTCAAAGTAGTTCCGACATCGTCTGGCAGAGCCATCAGAAGTTGGGGAGGTCACTTGCTGGAGGACATTGCCCCGAGGGTCAGTTATCTGTTAAAATTTAAGTTTAAGTTTTAAAATCTGTGGCAACTTAATTTGCTATGGTACACAATCTGTATGTTGTTCATGTCTGAAAGATGTTTAACACATACCTGAACACGTGCATTTCCGCAGTCCACTATAAAGAGTTGGCCCTGTGGTGTGGCATGGATACCACTTGGCAGGGTAAGGTCAGCCCGACCTGAGCCCTGTTTCCCAAACTGCCTGATCAAATGGACTCCTCTGGAGTGTAATATTGTCATGGATGGGTCTCCTTCCTCCTCCAACTCCACAAGGGTGGGCTCTCCTCTCTCTCCTCTGCCTCTCTTTGGCTCTTGAGAGGAACCATCTATGACAGACATGGATAAAGACCTGGCCACCAGGGCTTGTTTTGAGCCAGTTGTGATTTTTTTCTGTGGCTGTTGCAGATGATTATGACTTCTATATGTAGGGTATGAAAGGGTCTGTCCCATGTCAGAGACCCTTGACCCCCTACTGAGAGTTGGTGAGATTGAGTTGTTGCCACACTTCACCCTCCACACTCCTACATGCTCATTTGTCTCACCACTGATCAACGGGCGTGTCTTGTGTGTCAAGTCAACTGTAGACTTTGATAGACGGCAATTGTAATTCAAAGAGCCTCTACTCATGTTGTAGTCATGAGAAGGGCTAACAATGAAAGTATAGCTGGAGTCAAGGCTGTCTGTTGGGGATGGTGCTCGACCAGAGTCACCATGGGTTCCTAGAGAGTGTTCATCAGAGGACTGGCTGAGGCAAGAGTGAGGTCGACCCCTGGAGGTTAGGTCTAGGCAGCTTTGGCTGGTCAGTGGCTCTCTTGAAGTCATCCTAGGAGATGTTAGACCACTGTTGCCATACCTCAAAAGTCTGCTATTGGACTCTTGACTCAATCTTCCTTTATCTACTTCCTGGCTGTCTAAACTCAAGCAGTGACTCAGCTTAGCATGCTCCCGTCTTCGTTCAGGTGAGGGGGAGGTCTTTCTACCAGAGACCATAGTAAGCAGCTTCCTCTGATTCCTGGGAGAGTAGTGTTTTCCATTGCTATTCACCTTGTATACCTGCTCCTTGCCTTCAGTATCCATGTTTTTAAGTACCGTAGGAACAGTCAGAAATACGTCCTCCCCTTGTGGCGGAAAGGAGGCTGATTCCATCTCGTCATCCTGGGATGACTCCCAGTCAGACTGTTCACACTTTGGAAGCCAGCGAGATATCTTTGTTGAGGAAAGCTTTTGTTCCTCCTCTGATTCCATATCACACGGTTTAGAGAGGCTGATCTTTCTCACAACCCTGCCTGTTGGTGAGGTCCACCCCTGTCCTAGGCTGTTTTTTTCTCCCCCAGCACCTTGATAATTTGTGTCTTCACATTTCATTTCATGTGAATGAAGAGCGCACAGCTGGCCCTGTGGTCCACAACCGCCAACATGCAGGCACAGACTTTGCTCTTGCACGCGAATATCTCCAAAGGCAACAGCATTAGGTTGGGAGCTGGGTTTGAAGTTCACTTTTTTAAGGGATACTGATATTTCCCAGGGTTGTAGGAACTCTGCAACCTCCTTCAACAGCAGGTTCTGGTTAAGCCTACTTTCATCCAGACCTGACTGTTGACCCTCCTCCTGAATCTGCTGCTGAAGTTGAGTCAGTTTATGGAATCTTTGGTCCAGAAGGGACTGGCTCACCCGGGCTGCTGCCAAGTTCTCCCTCTGGATCTGGTCCAGATGCTGCTGAGTGTCACGATGGTCCTGCTCCACCCTTTCTAGCAGGCGCCGCTCTTCTCTACGTGCTCCCAGAATTGCCCGCTCTACACCCCGCTTTACTGATTCAGTCTCAGTTTTATGACGCTCTTGTAGGCGACGAAGCTCTGCCTCTGCCTGAGCAAGGTCACACCGTGCCTGTGTTGCCCAGCATGGAGGGGACTGAGGCACGAAAGCAGGAGAAGGACCATCTGACTGACAATCAGGACTAGGGCTGTGGGCTGGGTTAGGGGAGGTGGGATTGCTCCCCAAAGGACTTCCCACATACATCATGGTGGATGGATGGATCTTTATGTATTTTCTAACATTCAATTTGAGCTTCTGCAGAAAGACAAAATGAAGGGAAAGGGAAGATCAACAAGAGATTCATGAACATAATGCCTAAGGAAGATTTAAACATAAAGAGTAATTAACCTTCCTGTAACCAAAGGAGTTCCTCCCCATTTTACAGACTACCCAACAAGGAACAGGGTGACACACATTTTAAGCCTTGTTGACCCCTAATTTGCCATTAGCAAAGGCATTTCTCTAATACTGTATTACATGACATGACACATATACTCTGTGAATTACAATCATTCATAATTTGTAATACATATTTTGAAGCTGTTTGAATTGTAAACAGCCAGTTTGTATGTATTCTTAACAGTTACAGAAGCAGGCAGTACGCTAGCTTTAGCAATATTAGCATCAGCAAATCTGTTGAGTAAATCCATTTCTATTATAATTGATGTTAAATGTTAAATAATTAAATGTTTTTCCTGTCTATAGTTTGCAATTGACTTTATGCTTTAATTAATAATGTATGCTTTAAATCTCACCATGTACTAGCGATTCCTGTTCATGTCCATTTAAAACAGTGCGGTACATAAAGTATGGCGTGGCCCTCTTATATAATCCAATTAAACGTTTTTTTTTTGTTCATTTTTTAGATATGAAAACAATTTTTGAGGTACTCGTTGAGGCTGTCACTTGTGTAGTTGTAGTAATTAGAGTAATATTGACCTGTGTACCTGTACTAAAGGTTGTGGTGGCGTCATCCAAATATTAAACATTTCACCACAATGAAAATTACATGTTATCCGACTAGATTTTATTTATGGGGAAATGTGTGACAGACAACTCAGCAACCACTTTACTACTTGCACCGGATATGTCTTTTAGAGCTATTTCTATGGTGCCAAGTGAACAGCTGCTTATGGAAAGGTGATATAGTTATAAAGGAGGCCAAAAGAGAGACAAGGCTGTGGGCAGAAAGAAATAGCATAGAGGAGGAAGAAAGTTTTGAGTATTGCACCGAGATATCTATTAGCATTTCAAATAGCAGCAGACAGCCAGAAGCATCCAGAGTGAGGGCGAGAGTGGGAGGTAAAGAGACAGCCCAAGTGTCAACACAACAATACTCCTCAACTCCCCAGTTCTGCAAACAGACCCACTTTGATATTTTATTCATGAGCAGAACAAAGTGATGTAGAGAAATGGCAGTGAGAGATGTCTGTCCTCCATGTGATGTATTGTGATAATACTGAAACCCCAGGGAGCCATAATATAATAAACAGAAAGTAGCAATCTTACCGGGAATACATTAGGAAGTTTATGGCCCCAAACATTTTTTTCATTTATAGGAATGGGCACAGTTGGCACAGTCCAATGCATGAATAATATATAGGCCTAATGCTTTTTGCTACTTCAGTATTTCTAAAATGGAAAAAAGGATGTACAAGGATTTTGCCTGTAATAAATACAGTCTGTAATGACCAAATTATGATTAAAATTGGAAAATATCTATTTAAGTTACGAAGAAAAATAATGATCAAGTATTCAGAAATATTTTGGTACCTCACACTTTTTATTACTCAGTGGTTAGGACACATCCCACAAAGGTCCATTCTTATAATTCATGCGTGCTACAGAGGCATATGTGTTTTAACCTGTATGTTGAAGCTCAACAAGTAGTTTCAATATAGCTTTAATAACAAGTGACCAATACTAAAAGGTAAATAACATTAGGTCATTTATATTTGCTTTGTTTACAATAAGCTACATCCAATGATTTTATCTTAATTGTTTTAACTTGTGATTACCAAAGCTAGAAGCTATTTATGGCACAGTCATTTTACTTTAGCATTAGCTTTTGGAGGCCAAACTTAGCAGTGGTTCTCAAACTGTGGGGCATGCCCACCTGGTGGGGAATGGAGCCACTGCAGGTGGGGCGTGAATGACCAGGGGAAAAATATATGAAATTAAGTTATTGGAATGTGATTTATGGGGGGAAAATAAACAAAAGTTTGCAGATGCTATCGTGCTGACCTTTTATTAGTTGCATCATTGGTAATGATTGATAAAAATTGTGAGGTGGAATGTTTGGCTTCTGAAGGGGGGCACACCAGGAAAAGATTTAAACCACTGAGCTAAAGTGATTAAATAAGGGGGGGTGGGATTGTTGTCAAATTGTAGCCACGTAACTGATATTTTATCTTAACATTGATAATTTACTATTGCATTGTAATAGACAAAATTAGCAGCAAAAATTAATGTTACTGACTTATTATTATATTATTATTTAATCATCTTTGCCAGGTTAATACCAAAGTATACCTCCATTATTGTCCCAAAACTATTAAGAATACATCAATAAGCTTGCACTGGGTGACATGTTCCTTCATTGCCATTAACACAACTCTGTAGTTAATTTTGAATTAATCCCACACACACCGACCAGACGATGCAATTACTCACTGGACCATCAAATGTGTATTCATCCACAGATGAAAATAGTCCCCAACAAATACAATATTTCCTGATCCTTTTAAAAAATTTAATTTTACTGTATGACCGATATGGAAAATGATTTGTGACCAAGATTTACAGTCTGAAAAGTATTGAAAAATGTACGAAACTTTATTGGTTGTTCTGGGATTTGTTGACCACTGTAAGTCTACTTGCTGCAGTTACTTAAGTTACTTAACACATTACTAATTAAAGATTCTGAAAGTATCTATTCTTCACATAAGTCACATGTACTTTTGATACTTGAGAAGGTTTTTTTTGTCTTATACTTTGGCATAATAATCAATACAGAACTTCAGAGCTGTAGTGGACTTTATCCATTGGGGTGTAGCTACTTGTATTTAAAGAATAGAGTTTGAGTTTTCCTTCCACAGCCAGTGCCAGTGAAGTTATTCCTGTTCATTTTCATGTTGGAGATAAGTGACAGGTGTATCTGAGGCACATTGCCAGTCTTATCTCTTTGAGTCACAGACCAGGTTTCCACTCACATTACCACACTACATTATAGATGAGGAGGGTCCAGTTACCCATCTTGTGAGTGCTGTGGGATAACTGGGTCACATTAGAAACACAGTCAATGAGCAAACCTGTGTTACTACTACATGTCTGTCTCAAAAAATGAGTAAACTTTAGAAGCAATCAAAAATTGTAATTTAACTGTGAAACAAATTTAAATCTTCAAACAAATTACCTTGCTGAACACTTTTCAGTTTCACATTTTCACAAAAAAGAATGAAATCAAGAAACACTCAAAATGTACTTTATAATAAAACTATTAAAATCTGATTTTGTAGAATGAAAGAAAAATCCATCAGCGTCTTACCTGTAGTCAGGTACCAGTGCTGCTACGACCCCATGCTCTGCTCTTAGTTACCGCATGTCCCCACTCCTTCACTTCTACCATCAACCTCTGGCCGTCCCTTTGTGCCATTTCCCCTCTTATTGGCTGTTGCTAGGAGACCACCAAGCCAACTCCAGTTTCCTGTGTATGCAAACTCAGAACGTGCATCCACAATTGATATATTTCTGATCTTCAAGTTGTGTACTTTATGCTTTACCTTGAAATAATAAAAGAGTCTGGGAAGTAAATTCATTAATAACACAAACCAAACAGGTCGATGCCTGAGGAACTGACACTTCTTTGTGCTGTGAAATACACCTATGAGCTTTTGTCTAGATGTGCTGTATGATGCAACTGCATAGAAGTGTTCCTGTTATGGCTAATTTATTGGGCTTTGCATTAAATATTGATTTCTAGGGTCTGTTATCTTAGTGTTCAGTTCTGGGTTTGAGCCAGTTCTTTCTGCACAGACTTTATGTGCTCTAAGCCATGTTTCTGTGATGTACTGGTGACTAGGGCTACAACTCACAATTATTAATATCGTCAGTTAATGTACAGATAATTTTTCTCGATTGATTGATTAATCGCTTTGTCCATAAAAAGTTTTTTAGTTTACTGTCACAAAGCAGCAAATATTCACATTAGAGAGGATGGAACCAGTTTTGCTTGAATTATTCTTAAATTATTGAAATAAGTAGCTGATTATCAGAATTAATTTTCTGTTGATTGATGGATTATCCCAGCTCTACTGGTGACCACGGGTTTTGCTTGGAATATCCCTGTATACACAATTCTAACATTATAAAGGCTGCTAGTGATGATCAGTTCATCTAATTATTTTCTTAATTAATAATTTGGTCTGTAAAATGTCAGAAAATAGTGAAAAATACCTGTCAGTCCTTGGCAGAGCTTAAGGCGATGTCATCAAATTGCTTGTCAAAAACCCGAAGATCTTCATTTTACGATATCAAACACAGAAAGCACATCCTCACACTGGAGAATATGGGATATTTTTAAACAGTTATTTGTATCATCAGTGATATTGGTGAGGTACCTGCGCAGAGACCAAAGGGTACTAAAAGACACGGCACCCACCGCAGCCTTCTCACCCCGCTGCCGTCTGGCAAGCGATACAGAAGTATCCGCTGCCGTACCATCAGACTACAGAGCAGCTTCCTTCCTCAGGCTAAAAGACTCCTCAACTCATCCTGCACAAGCCACCACAAAAGTTTATTTTTGTGACTGATTATTAATTCATCCATTTATATAATTGTTGTTTTGAAGGAACTACAACTTGCGTGTGTTATATAACCCTGTGTTGTAGAAGGAATAAACAAATTAATGACTAATGACTTGTTTTAGCTCTAAACATTGTCCAGGTTTTTCATCATATGGGCATCAGTCCAGCATCTCTCTGTAGTGAATGGATGAACTCAGTTTGGTTTAATGTTTCCTGAACAGTTGATACTGCTGCATTTATCATTCAGCTGTTTTATTCTCCATCTCCATTAATGAAAGAGGAGAACAAAAAGGACAAGAATTATTCATTTCATCACCACATTACCAGTGTCAATTGGGGATGCAACTAATTATTATTTTCATTATCAATTAATCTGTCGATCATTTCCTCATTTAATCGAGTGTTTTGTTCATAAAATGTCATAAAATGGTACAAAAAATGCTGATCACTGTTTCCAAAAGCACACGGTGACGTCCTCAAATGTCTTGTTTTGTCCACAACCCGAAGACATTCAGTTTACCATATTTCAAAACTAAAAACAGAGAATTTTGACCTTTTTTCCTAAAAAAAATATTCAAAACTATTGATTATAGTTAGATATAGATTGATAGTTGGCAATTAATTTAATTGTTGACAGCTAATTGATTACTTGACTAATCATATAGCTCTAGTGTCAAGACAAAGACCAGAAACCAGGATGTGTAAACATATAAATGATTCTCCTGAAATAAACCTGAAAATGACATGGTAGTGTGCAGGTAAACATCCTCAGTACACGCTGGGATGTGGCCTCCAAATGGATAAATAATAAATAAACACTGCTTAGTATTTGTGCAGTGAGCATGTTTACATGATCTCTAGTTGTTCTGAGGGTTTTCCTGTCTTTAACTTTCTGGGGCTCAGGCTCACTTTTCTGGTTGTTGCTGTTTTTCTTGTCTTGTCTTTCTTGCTGTGGAATAGTTTCACCTTTTCAGGCCTCTAAAATCATTAAATTGAACAACTCAAGCAGGAATTTCCCTCTTTGACTTTAACTTTAGCTTATGTTCATATTAAAGACATAATCTTTGATGGGAGGTCACAAGTACATGTTGCTTATTGCAAAAGCCAAAAAGGTTGGAAACCACAGATTTACCATGCTGGAGATGTGTTGGGGTTAAATTCATAATCACAAGTCAACCAAAGAAAGGACACCAGGACCAATGCGATATTGCTAGGCAAAGAATTTATAAATTAATAAAAACATTCCCTTTGTAGTGTTCTTCTGACAGCTTTTTCCCACTTTGTATTTTTGTCCTTTTTTCTAATGATTTCAAAATATAGAAAAATATTTCTGACAACATTCATCATTACATTACTTTTAGCATGATTTTCATTCTGTCCTGTTGGTTATTTCACATACCTGTGCATTTTTGACCCATTGCTTTTTACAGTATTTACACATTAAATCCACATCATCTTTCAGTTTCAAACGGGGGACACCAGAGCATGTTTTGCATAGATCACAGGGGAGAAATCAAAAGTCAAACTTCAAAAGAAAAAGGAAAAGTGAGAAGATACTGTACATCCCGTGATAGGCATTACAAATCAACACATGAGGAATCTATTTCAAACATGGCACAAAGTGTACACAATGTGTTCAGAAATCAGATGAGTCCCTTCAGATGAAAGTTAAATAGCCCAGACTGTTGCAGTTGTTGTTTTCATACTGACAAGATCACTTGCAGAAATTAACCGTCTAACTTTGAATGAACCGTACATGCAACTAAAATGTTACAAAGTTAAAGTGGAAGCCTCATGTGGCACTCTGCTGCTGTTAGTTGCATTGCTGCTTGTAATGTGAAAATATAACAGTTTTTTTTATATCTTTGTGTTACTTGGTGATAAAACAACCCAAAAACAAAAAGGGGGATGACATAATTCCAATTCAAATGAAAGTCAGTGACAGCTGAACACTAAACTTCAATATAGAAACACAGAAACTCATAACACAATTCATGCTCTGAATTCAGACACAACTAAACAACTCAAGTTGAAGGATGTGAAAGATTTTAACTCATTGACATTGATTGATTAATTGTAGTGTTCAAGTGCATCTGTCTGAAACAGACAGAGGAAAAAATTAAATAAAATACAGTCCCACAAAAAGGTCTGAAGCTTACCACCATTTCTGTCAGTTAACAGAGTCAGAAAAGCACATAAATGGAGTCTGAGTAGAGTTGAGGTGAAACAGCAGCCAACACGTCAGAGACGCCTCTTTATCAAGCATTCACAAACGTAAGACTGGATATATTTTGAGGCTATATCTCCTGACAGTAAACAGATACACACATTTAACTCATTTTTTAATTAATTTGGTTTTCTGGCCATTAAATGAACTGCATTGGCTTTAGCAGCCGTGGTAGTTGCTGCTTTTTCAAAAACTAAAATCCCTTTCCCAAATGTAAATTTTAAGATTTTAAAATCAGTTTTGGTGTTTGTGTATGTTAAACAAGTTGTTCCCCTGTCTGTCCACGATCCCTACAGTTGGAGGGCTCACTTTTCTACCAGCAGAGAAAGCCCTTTTGCTGCCATTCATTCTTGTGGAGCATCAAGAACAACCTCCATAAAGCTAGGTAATCCATCACAGTAACATGCAGCCTTGATTATAGTTGTCTAATTCCCCGTTTTACTTCACAGTGTGTGAGTTGGGTTTTTTTATATCAGCGCTGCACTAAATTCATCTCTGCTTACGTCCAGCCATCTGACAACTTCGGGCTGAAGTCCCTTGTAGGGAATAATCCTTTATAAAACACCCCAAGATAACCTTGGCACATCATCGTATTCTTAAAAATGAAAAAAAAAAAAAAAAAGATACAACAAATGAAGCAGTGCAAAATGACTGCAGGAAGTGTAGACAGGTGTGCGGGGGATAAAGTCCCAAATAAGAGTCACAGAGGACCAATGCCAACTATTTAGGTTTTGCAACTCAAAGTTGAGCAGCTCCCTTTTCTAAATCTCAAAAACACACCTCGCCCTGTCCAATGAGCTTGAGCTGGTAAAATAATTACCTTTTTAAGGATAATTCCTGTTTAAAAAGCTTGGGATTCATATGTTTGGCCAGTGGTTCTATCATCTGACAAAGTCTTGGTGATAACTTTATCATCTCCATCAGTCAACAGTTTCCGTGTATATGGCCTTTTAACTGTAATATTTTAGGAATTGGCACCTTTTTTGTGGGGTTATTTGAAAGCAGGTAATAGTTTATTACAGTGTTCATATTGTGCACCATGAAACTGTGTATGATTGCTTAAACAGAGACACTGGGAGTTTGGGGTATTGTCATAGAGAGATTGTCTTTGGTGTCCACGAAGAAATACAGACAACTGACTGAAACTAAATTACACTCAACGACCAGCTGACTGAGTCAGTGATAGCACTGAGAAGCTGAGCATTTACCACCTTTCTCATACTACGACCCATCTTTAACGGAACTGCTAGTAAAAATAGTTTAGTTAAAAAAAACACAATCTTGAGTCTAAAAGTAGATGAACCTGGTGAGGAATGAGACCCTCTGGCCTTTTTCTCTGTGCAAGGGAAACATGAATCACGTTCTGAACACACGCGGATGTACAGCAGACAAGGTGAACAGATGGACGGACGGATGGCAGTGGGTCAAAAACAGAAGTGATTTCTCTACCAATTTAATTAGCCGAGAGGAAACATTCAGTGTGAAACGTGTTCTTGCCATCGCTGATCTCCGCAGGCACCCGGATGACTCACTAACCGCTAAAACCTACTGCATGGAATTTAATTTAAGCTCTGCACTATTGCACAAACCAAAGAAAACTTACTCTACACTACTTAATTATTATTTCATTATAAACCTGGCCTCAGATGGCATGCAGAAACTCTTTAGTAATGACATTTAAAAAACAAACTGGGGGTAACTGGGGTGTTACGAAATGTGTCTAGAAACCTCCATAGAAAAGTGAGTTACAGCAGTAATGAAGTATTACATTTACAAACTATGGCTTTGACAAGTTGAGAATAGATGGAACCGTTGTCAAAAAATGATATTAAGACTTTGCATTATGGGCAGTTTCTCTACTGCTAAAAGTTGAGAGAGAATGGCTAGTATGTGCAGAAAAAGGATTTCACAAAAAGCGCGGTCATAGATGGACTTTGCATTGCAGTCATACAGTGAACTCTTCGTTTTACAGGTTCTTCAGTTGCTAATAACTTTCTCACAATTTCCTTTCTTTAAAAAAAAAACAACAAACGCATTTAATTTTGAAATGACAGACCTGTAAAATAAAGAATGGCCGTCTTATAAAACTGCCAACGACAATAACGTTGATGAAAAAACAAGAGAATTGAAAGAGAATTTTGTCTTGGCAAAAGCTTTTAACACTGAGTGGCTGCGACTTCATTCGACCTCAGACGCAAGAAAGAATAAATTAAATGCCGATCACAACACTGGCACTGACTCCTCCACATCCTCACATACACATTTATACTTGGTACCTAACAATGAAATGAAGAGATAGTAGCTGTTACACTAATAATAAAAATGGGTGTTAGTGTTAAAAAAATAGCAGCATGTTAAGTTCCTAGTTGAACAGTTTGTATGTTCAGTTTGGCCCGTCTCACCCAAAAGAGACAATTTTTTGAAGCCAACTAAAACAAAAACTGAAACAAACTGAGAAGGAGATCACTCCTTACAAGCCTCATCTTTAGCTCACAGCTCACAAAGATCTGTTTAAAGCAATGTCAGTGAATGCTTCATGAGGACCTTTTTCAACTGTCAGTTCAAAGTAAATGGAAATTGTGCCAACGCTCCCTAGAAATAAATTCCTTCCCTTCTCGCCTTTTTCTCGCAGACTCTTGGGTCTTTTAAAAAGACTAAATGACACACGAAAGGTATGAATTGTAAAGCATTGCTGTCTTTTCAATGCCGCAGCCTCTTTTATGGCAACAGGTGAATGGCTTACTGAAGAGTTGGTGTCACCTCATACACAACGACAGACGAACCTGCTCCCGCGTGTTGCTGATATGTCTAGAAAATGGTGCAAATGCAAAAGACAAGCGCGTTTCAAAGAAAATATTTTTTAAAAATGCCATTAATTATCCAAAGTTTTTCCAGTACATTTGTGGCGGTGGTGCTGACTCGCGGGAGAGAAAATGGCACTAGCTCACCTGCGTGTTCCAGTTTTCATCTCATTCATTGATGACTAGTCTTTGCAGCAGTGCAGCCTCTTGAAAATAAAATGGACACTGGAGATGTGTTATTAGGAACGGCTTTCATTACTGGCCGGTCCTTGATAGAGGAAGAGCTCTGTGACAGAGATGGCCGAAGATGACTGAAAGTGTAAGCTAGTCAATCAACTTCAAAGTGTATTCCTTCCATACGATTTTTGGTGTTTGTCAACATTTTTGAGGACAAAACTTTCGTCTCCTCTGTGCCACCTGAAAGCACCCTTTCAACTTAAAAGATAAAGAGTATTGACTAGCACCAATATGTGCACCTATTTCTTTTATCTGTGGCTTTACTGTGTCACATTATACCATGACATGGTATGTGTATGTGTATGTACAAGCTCCCAAATCTCAAGCATTTACAGAGATTTTCTGTGTATAGAATGTAAATATAATACATGATATGCACAATATCATATAAGTTTACAGATGAGGAAAATTCTTCCAGTCCTATAGGTATCCTATAATGATTTTGGTACAAAAACGCCACTGTTTTCATCCTGCTTTCTGTCTGTCAGATGACCCACCTCAGTGACAGAAAAGTCTCAGTGCTCCAGTCTGTCTGTTGATGGGAGAATCTTACTGAACTCTTTTTACAGCCTAAACTAAAAGAAATTGAGGCTTAGAGCTGGATTTGAGGAGTCTACCGTCTATTCCTCTGCCTCCTGGCTGTGAGGGAAAGGCAGAGAGACGGCGTGCTCTTGAGCCAGGGCAGCCAGCTCCTTGAGGAACTCACAGAAGATAACGGCACAGTAGACGGCGTTCTTCACTCGGAGTGCTTCGGCTTGCTTCTCCAGGCCAGAGGCCCCTGCACTCCCCTTGAACAGAGCGCTGTGCAGTGACTGGCCGCCATCCCGTACGTGTGCGAGGGCCAGCTGAGCGGCGTGCCGAGCCCGGGTCGGGCTGTTGGTGTGACGAAGGATCAGGTCTCCAAGGGATGGCTTACGACTCTTCACTGGAACAAGAAGACATTGAATAGAATAATTTCATTAAGGTGATTGTCTCTTTTTTTTTTTTACATGAGATATTTTTAAATATTCCTGTTTTCTTTTAAAAATAATTCTTGTGTTTTTAATTGCATGTAAAAACTACTCCAGTGAGTGAATGGTGCTATATTAATTAACTTGCCTTTTTTCTGTAATTTCTATAGATTTTAGACTATATAAAGGAGAGAAATTACTTATTTTATAGATTTGTGGGTGGAAATAATGACAATCCACTCTGATCTAGGGTAATTAACTGCAAAGAGGTTTCTTAGATAGGAAGATATGCAGAAAAAGGCAAAACCTGACTATAAGACACACACACACGCACACGCACACACACACACACACACAGTTGTGTGTAAATGCAGGTTCTGCTGTTGCCGTCCTGACCTAATGAATCAGAGCGCCGCAGGGGAGGAACTGCTGCAGGCGAGTCAGTCCAGTCCACTTTGCCTCGGGCCACCAGATACTGCTGGGCTTTCTTCAGCATGGCCGGGAAGTCCTCATGGGAGGCTGCAAACGCCTCGATGCGGTTCTTCACAGAGCCTAGGACCTGAGATGAGTCAGGGAAAAAAACGTATTTTCAAAAACAGCTGGCTTGTTTTGCTAAATTGACGGGTCAGTAAATTTCACTTAGTGACAGTTTCTGACATAGAGCATAAGACTAAAACACCCAATGCACCGGGCATGGCTCTATGACGCAATTTTGTAGTGTTTTGCCTGCCCAGTTTTTTTTTACCTGCTCAGCTCTTGTTGATTTGGTAATTTCTCCTTTTTTGAGCTTCTACCATGGTTACGTAGGCTACATAGTTAAATGGTTTGTCATCATATACATTTGTGAGTCTGCACAGGGTGTTTTATTTTGAAAATTGGATGGTTTTCCTTTGTCTGACTTCTTGCCCGGCTCAATCTGCTCTGTGCAGCTTGACGTGGCTTCGTCAAAAATAGACTTAGTGCATATTTTGGACACTTCTGAATTGCGCTGCAGTGTTTCTGGTGGAGTCACAAGCATTGTCTAGCTCCAGTGGCCACGCCACAGCCTCAATGCAGTGCAGCCATGCCCAGTGGAATCAAGCATTGATAGTCCGAGGCTGCGCTAACCTAGAGGCTGCAATATTTATGACAATCCACAGTATTAAAGTGCTGAATGAAAAAACAGTTAGTATTGTGCTCTTCTTAGGACAAACATTACCACAACCAAAAGGCTCCGAGTGACAGAAAGGCCATTGGGTCATTACATTGAAAGGGATTACTTCCTTAAGATTATGAATGTGTTCATAAAAAAGTGCATTTTTAAAAAAAAATTTTACTGTCCAGCCGAATATTAGGTATTTATTTAAAGTATCTTAGAATATGGACATAAATGGAATCTGGAAAAGAAACGCTATGCAAATAAATTGTGGGCCTGATACTTTTGGAAGAGAAGCTAGCACAGAAGTAAGGTGGGCTGCAAGTGGACAACGATGCCTAAAACCAGGAGACTTAAACTGTCATCACTTAAAGTAGAAATAAAAAAAGTATCTTCTGCACTTTGTACTGAGCACCTGGTTTACAAAGGTTAAGTTCAACACAAAGCGTTCCTAGGGCCAGGATATCACAGGCTGTGCATGGTGCAGTGTACCTGGATCAGTGACTTGACGCTGGGCTGGAAGACCATGTTGGTGTTGAGCAGGAAGGAGCGTAGGAGGGGCTGTGGATAGCAGGCCAGCTGGGCCACGATGCCCGTGAGCAGGATGTTGACGTACAGCGAGTTTTGGAGCATGTTCTCCAGCTTGGCAAACAGAACCACCATGAATGGACCTGCACAGAGAAAGATTGATGGATCATTGAATGGAGAGATACAAGACACAACTTCAGCTCAACTGCACAAACAAACTGGGGATGAAACCAGAGGCGTGTTTGAAATCTTATTTAGATAACTGACATGGTGGTGTAGAGGCTGTAGCAGCAGGGTGCTTGTAGAGGTTAAATGGTTAGGTAAAAAACTCAAATATATCCCTTATGAATTATGGACTTTGACTTAATGGAAAATTGTGCCTATAAATAAAAATGATTACAATTATTAGAATCATTTAGTCTTGCGGTGGAATGTTATTCAAGTGTCATTGAAGCATGAAGCTGGTACTCAGACTTGTATAAGCAGCCTTCAAAATGTGCAACGGTGTGATCTACTGGTAGCACCGTACGCTTCTTATTTTGGAGGGTGACGTGTGCGCAGACAGTAAAGTAACCAAGAGAAGCAGTTGACAAAAGGTGGGAACACTAGCGTTAGCAGCTTAAGCTACTTCCAACTGGCCCCTGAACTCCTCCAGCTTACTGAAGCCTCGTGCTGTTTTATGACCCATACAGCGTTACTAAAGGAATATCAATGTCAAGATGAAACTGACCCAGGAACTGAGGTAAACAAAGCCCAGTAAGCATCAACAATGTCTCACCTGTGTACGGCTGAGAGGCAGGCTGATTTAGTGGTCTCGCAGGACTACAGAGGCCCACAACAGTTCCTTCTCCCTTCGTGTCACCTGTCAGCTTCACCTCCAGTGCTGAGGACAACTGCTGTTCCTCCTCCTGCCGCTCAGCGGATAGGGACTCCCTGGCAGTGTCCTCCTCCTGGCAGGCTGGTCTGCTGCGCTCCTTCACCCGGTCCTCCAGCTCCCTCAGCTCCTGTGTGAAGGCCTCGATGCTGATGCCCTGGCCGTTGGAGTCTCCGGGGGGCTGTGGTTCTCCTGGTGCCTGCTCAAGCAGCTCCTGGATGAGACTCTCTACAGATTGTTGCGCCTGGTTGGCTTCTGGAAGATCTGAGGATGCACCGTGTGGGTTTGAGGTGTCGCTGGTCAGCAGTTTGGTGTCGGACGTTGGTTTGGGGATGGAGCTCTGAGAGGGAATCTGGTTCGGGCGTAGAGATTTCTCATCGCTCATTTCACTGTTGTTAAAAACAGACTGTGGGAGAGGGGAGCAGCTTTGGGAGGAGCAGGTGACAAGGGATCCATTCCGATTTGCGTTCTCATCCAAATACTGCTGCTCCCCCAAGTCTCTCTTCACTTTCTTTACCTCCAGTCCTCTGTCCCGACTGTCTGAGCAGCCATCCCCCTGCCCCATCGTTCCGTTATACATGGCCTGGTAGCTAACAGTGATGGCAGAAGACGGAATGTGAGGAGCTGGGGACGAGGCAGGGTGAGAAGTCGATAAAGGAGTGGCTGAAGACGAAGAGGAGGGGACGAGACGAGGTACGGCCTTTGGCAGGAGCTCCTCTCTCTGCAGGCTGCGTTTCTTGGAGCGTGGCGTGAGGCTAATGCAGTTGTTTTTGCCGATGGTGACGTCCCACTCTCCGCTGTCCCGCTCTGAGCTGCTCCACTCAGATCGTGCTGCAGCCACAATGGCCGCCCTCTGTTGGCCTGGAGGAGTGTTGCTGCTTCCTCCCTGCTGGAAAGAGAAGTGCTCAGGGAACATAGCCATGGAGGGGTTGGAGGTAGGGGGTGGTGGGGGTGGAGGGACTGTGTTCGGGGAGGGGTTTTCTCCATCGTAGGGCGCCGACCAGTCACGGCAGGCCCAGGAGCAATGCTCGATGCCCCGCCGGGCATCTTTGAGGTACTCCAGGTAACCCGAATCCCAGTCCAGACACTCTGTGTGAGTCTGCTGCTGGTGCATCGGGCTGTCGGGGGACAGGGGGTGGGAACTGGAAGGACCCGACTGTAGTGGCTCCATGCCAGTGGGGGTAGAGGGACCCCCTCCTCCTGATCCACCTCCACTGCTTTGTTGGCGGATGAAAAAGGCTAAGCGGGACGGAGTACTGGGTCTGGGTGGAGCTGGAGACTCTGTGCTGGGACTGTTCAGTACTGTAGGATGACAAAATACAGATGCAAGCAGTTAACTTTCTAACACCACTGGTGAGTTCACGTCATATCAAATTTACTGGCTTTACGAGGCTAAAAAACATAAACACACATAACACAATAAACGTTTACCTACGTTTGTCTTTGATTTGATTGGTCTTTCTACAGGGCCCAGCAGGTGTCATAAGAAAAAAAAAAGCGCACTTAAATCAATAATTTGTGCTCTTGAATTACGTAATTTGTGCGCAGAAAGTAACTGAACATAACGTGATAAATCTTGTAAACATTTTATCTAATGTAAAAGGGATGTCAAAGATAAGATAATAATATGTATAATATTAATCCTAACACTTACAGGACTTTGTAGGCAGGTTTACCATTTTCAGTCTATACCTAAAGGTCCTCACAAAGTATGGAAAAAGACCAAAGAAAAAAAGACTACACAACAGAATATATTTTGTGTGTTCACATGTCCATAGTTGTTCACTTTTTATAACCACAGCTGTAAGTGTGAACTTTTCCTTTTCCACCGTTTGTTGCTCACCTTTCCCCCAGAATGCACTGTCCTCGTCCCGCTCTGTAGAGGGCGCTGCATTCAGCCGACAGCACTCTGGGATCAGCGACAGGAACTTGTCCGCTGACTTTCCATATAGGTCAGTGTCTCTGATAGCACGACGTTGACTCAGCATTACATGAGTACAGGGCAGTAGATACCTGGGAGAAAAAGGCGCATGCACCCACACCCACACACACACAAACATACACATATGCACACAAACACACACATATGCACACAAACACGTTATATAGTATTCAGGCTGTAAGACATTATTATTTGGAAAACCTAAAGAGTTTCTGTTCTGGTTAAACCAATATATTCAGTCCTTTTCAATACCACATTTTCTCTGGCAATGTTGGTTATTTTATCTTGCTGTGACAGGCCAGCTGGTCAAACACTGCAGTTAAGAACTTTAGATAATGTGTTAATCAAGATTCTCAGTCATGTTGCTGATAACATACTAAGACGTACAAAGTCACAGGCAGCTGGATGTGCTGTTTTAGTCCTGAAGAGGCAACTGAGGGAAAACTGGCCCTGGAAGTTCACAAAATGCTTGTAAAAAATTTAAATGTGGGCACAATATGTTCTCTATCAGTGACTGTTTGGGGACAGAGGAAAACAAAACTACCTCCCTGTTGAATTTTTCAACATTCAGAAAGGAGGACAGTGTTTCTTTGCCAATATGTAGGAAAATAAAATATTGCTCATTGAACAGGACCCAGATAGTACATCTACAAACAGATGATACATGGGCAAAAATACCTTCCAATGGCCAAAAAAGACAGATAGTGACACATATTAACATTCAGTTACTCTGACTGATCATAGAGAAAAATATGAACCACTAGATCTGCGTTTTGCATAATAAATTAGCATATTTAAAACATAACACTTGGGAAAACATGCTGAGGTGCGCAGACATACCTGAGAACGAGCTGCAGCATGACATCTTCACAGTTCAGGGAGAGAAGAGTCCTAAAGAGGCTCAACGATACCATGCAGAGCTGCCACACACACACACACACACACACACACACACACACACACACACACACACACACACACACACACACACACACACACACACACACACACACACACACACACACACACACACACACACACACACACACACACACACACACACACACACACACACACACACACACACACACACACACACACACGTGTGTTAGAAAACGGTGATTATCCAATATGAATGCTAATTTACATCGATATGGACATCTTAAATGACCTGGGTCTTATTTCGGGAATTCTAGCGCAAATCCTCATTATTAATTTACAAAAATGTGACACACTTCACTTCTCCTCTGTGTGTTCCAGGATTGAAAAACTGCTGTATTAAAATGTTATGTGAGTGATGGCCAAAATTACAAACGTAAGAATGAAGTTGACAAGAATCACAGCTTTTCTTTAAAGCCCAAATCTTGACTTTCAGTTTTATTTTCACTGTTGCTCTTTGAAATGATGTTTAAACTACAACAAAGATGAACAAAGTGATGAAATCCTGGTTCTGTTTCCTAAACACAACTATTGTCTCAGTGTGACAGAAAATATATTCTGGGAGGGAATTTAAGATCAGACACATTTCACTGTGGATTGTTTTACCAACTACAAACAATTTGCAACACGATACTTCTGTATTCTACTGGAGTCTCTTTCAATCAATTTTTGCTCTCAGCCCACTCACCACCCACACAACTGAGTTCATATGAGGGCCCTGAGGCTCTATCACACAAACACATCCATATTTTTATACCCTTGAATTGCTGCTGATGCGTGTGAGCAGCGTGTCCAGGATGGTGTCATTGTCGTGACGATGCAGCAGGATGAAGCGCAGGAAGGTTTTGAGGAGGGAAGTCTCCGACACACTGCGCAGGAAAAGGTCCAGGTAGGCGGTGCTGGCGATCATCTCGTCCACGGACGACTGGAAACACACACACACGCACACAGAAATTTGCATCCAAACTGCAAAGAGGACAGTGCGTCAACTGTCCTATGAATAAAATAAAGTCTAAGATTAAAAACAGGCAATGAAACAACATCTACTGGTAATTTTTTTGCTTTGACTCATGCTCTGATTCATCTGTTGAACAAAGTCCAGTAAACAAATCAGTTCACACAATTGTTCTCAGTCTCCCGCTAATTCACTTCAAGCACACAATAAAATTGTTTTCCAGTAACCCAAGAGGAGCCTTAACCGAGTGGTCAATTTTCATCTGGTCCAAAAGAAAAAACCTTACAGTTTTCCCCACATACCCTTCATAGTGTCTGGCCATGCAGATAGTTTGTGGTACTCAAAGCCATGGGAACTATTTTCTAACATAAAATGGTTTCAGTCTTAATAGGTTACTGGTCAGTGATTACCCAGAGTAACCATGGTCTTGTTGTGCTGCAGCACATCCCTTTTGTACCTTATGCAGGGCGGGGCCCATGACTGGTACGAGGAAGCCGTTGTGGAGGTAGTCCAGGAGCTGGGAGCGGACCAGGGGATGAGCAACCTGTACCACAGCGTTGCAGAACTCCAGCGAGTTCATGAACAGCACGAGCGATGACACACACATCCAGTCCTCGCGCCGCAGGGCGTGCCAGTCGTCTCCTCGGACCTCGATCTTCCTGGGCAGAGAGGAGTAGAGGGCGCTGAGGCCCGTCGCCAACACCTGAGAAGAGACGAAGAGCGTTCAAAGATGATAGCTCCAAGTGGGTCAGATGGTGATTGAGGTGCTGGAAAGCTTGCCGGTAAAAATATGTGTGTATCCTTAGAGCACAAGGTTTATTTTTTGCAGATTAATTACTCAATTTTGTACGAATGGAGGAAAAAAAGCAACCCTAAACACCAGCCGAGAGCTGAAACAATAAGTCGATTAATTGAGTTTTGATCATCAACTAATAGCTTAAAGGAGGAGTTCACCCCAAAATCAAAAACACACATTTTCCTCTTACCTCAAGTTCTATTTATACATCTAGATTGTTTTGCTGTGACCTGCTGCGTTTTGGAGAAATAGGCCGTGGAGATGTCTGCCTTCATTCAAATATAATGGAACCAGATGGCACTTGGCTTGTGGTGTTCAGAGTAACAAATACATAACTAACATAATATAAAACTCAAAAGCAATGTCTCTTTTCAGAAATCATGACCCAGTTACTCAAGATAATCTGCAGTCCTTCTCGTAAGCAGTTTCATGTAGGAAATATTTTCTTTCTGCTGAACTACACCCATCAACCGTGGTGAGTGTTAGCTCTCGAGACCAAATGATTAATCAAGAAAATAATCAGCAGATTCATTATTAATTAAAGCAATAGTACATTGCAGCTCAATAACAAATCCTACAGTCTGAAAAATACAGGCAATGATTACAATACACAGACATGATGGAAAGGTTCCAATTTACCAGGCGAGATAAAAGCCCTCATGTAACTTAGTGTTTTGACAAAAGCCGATGACATTTTGAAGCCATTTACCACGTTTGCTTGCTGTACCAGGGAAAAACCTGAACTTGTTTGCCCGACTAAGCAAATGCAAACAATTTATTAATCACAATTTATTAAGAAAGAGCTACGAAAAGTGTGTTTGTGAAGATCACTGTTATAGCAGAGTAAGAGTGCTGTTACAGTTGTCTAAGAATCTATTGTTACATCCAAAAATGTCAATGACGGCTGATTAAAATGTGTGAGAATGCACTGGCAGAAAACAGTGAGACTCTGGCAGAGAGGAGCATTTGGTCGTTGATGCCACCTCCACTGGTCCTTCTAGCCTGTAAGTAGGTCAGACTGAAGCTGCTCGAAGGAGGACGAGTGGAAAAAATAGCTGAGCCAGCTCCTTAACACCAGAGTGAACAGGCAGAGGAAAAGATAAGGGTACTGACCACAGCATTAAACTATGGTATACACACACATACTCACCACACTACACCGTTTACTCTCTTAATGAAGCTAAAACGTCACTCAGTTGCTGCAACTTGTGACCAGACTTGTTTAGAACGATGGTCCTGAAATGTATGCACACACACTTTCTTCGCACACTGTGTCACTATCCAAATGAAACTATGTGGGTAAATACACTCTTAATTAGTAGACATTAATTTGAAAGTGCAATCAGCAAAATATGGGTCTTTAATAACACCTAGTGGCAGCTGGACAAAACTACAACAACACAGGCAGACACAATTGCATGGTCTTCCTCCACAATCATCTATATCTTTTTATATCATTTGCAAACTAAATGAGAACCTGTAGAAACAAACAAGTTTGTTACATGAAGTGCTAGGTTCTATCATGTGATGTTGTTTCAGTTAAATCTGTTTGTTATCCATCCCGGTAGTTTAGACATTAATGAGTTGTGTAAAGCAGCAGCATTAAGGGGTCTGTGTGATTTTCAGTGTATCCGTTTATCTTATCTTTAACATGTGATGTTGTGTGAGGTGAAGTGGTTATTTTTTAAGAAGCCGGCAGGAAGCCTTCTAAGTTGAGAGAGAGCTGAGAGGATGTAGATAAGGAAGAATGGTCTGTCAGAGTGCATTATCATGTCCTTCCTCTTCCATTATAACACACCATCACTGATGCATCAGAATTAGACAGCACACACACACACACACACAGACACACAGACACACAGACACACACACACACACACAGACACACACAGACACACACAGACACACACAGACACACACAGACACACAGACAGACACACACACACACACCTTTCTTAAAAGCAGTGTCGAAAGCATGCCAGGATGCTTATAATATTATGAGCTGTCCTCAACTTTCACATCATTTAAGAGGAGGTCATATTCATCTGTATATAAAACTAATGGCCCTTTTCTGTAAGAGCTGAAATTGACTATAAATAATGAGCTGAGTTTGATATTATATAGATAATACTGCATAGGAATGTGAATTACAGTTAAGTCAACGAAGCTAAGAGTGAATTAAAAAAGGTTTATGACCGTATAACACAGCGTAAAAGAGAAAAGAAAGACATGCCTATACTTCCAGATATTTCCTCTTCTCACTGACTTTCTGGGGGGTTTTTGTTCAAAAGTAAGAAATATGTTGAAAATAATGTAGCAATATGACAAGTTGTCCAGGTTTTTAAAAGAATCTCCACAATACCAAATGAAGCACAGTTTCCTTCTGAATAAAATAATGGACCTGGTGTAGTCCATTATGATGACCAATCATCATCTAATGACAATACAAAGGATTCAGTTTAAACCACGGTAAGGTTGCTCATATTGTAGCATGAAGCTTCAGTAGTGTGGCTAAGATTACCTGCAGTTTGATATAACTCACATATTTAGAACTGTTTGTGGTGTATACATGTACATTTTAATATCTACCTGCCATAAACAATTATTTGTATTGTCTTTTAACTTCACTTGAAATTCAGAAAATAACAAAATATACTACAAATATATAACTAAGTGGGAGGAAACGGTTACAATGCATTCCAGTCCAATTTTTCTATAAAGCCTGATATCGCCTACAATCTGTTAACCGTCCCCCCAAAACCTCAGCACACCTGCATTACTGTAATAGAAAATACAACACCATCTGTAACCACATCCTTAACCTACCCTAGCTCTACCAACCACAGTCTAAAATACAACACTTTTCCTGACTATATAGTTTTCATGAGCACCATCACTCACCGGGCAGAAGTAGGAGTTCTCAGCGATGTAACGTGCAACGGCCTCGTGGCTGGCCGAGGCCGCCATGACCAGCAGCAGCGCGTCTCTGGCCTGCTGTCCGATGGCTCCGTCCCGGTGGATGAATGGCACGAGAAGGGAGAAGATCAGCAGATTGGTGGAGCCCTGCTGAGCCGGTGCTGCCCGGAACAACATCTCTAGAACCACCGGCTGCCGGGCCATGGACACACAGATCTCGTGGGGATTTACAAAGTCACAATTAAAATCACGGCTAAAGTGTGGTCCATAACCTTTTCAAATAATAATCAATTTTTCAAGTGAGTTAGCCGCAAGTTTAAACCATGGTTATGTCAGCCTTAGATTGAGCCTTTTATATCTACAGACGCTGCAGGTCGCCTTCCATGTTTCTACAGTAGTCCAAAAGGGACAAACCAAACAGTGGCTCTAAATGGGGGCGTTTCACAGCCAGCGTAGTTTCTCCTTCATGTTTGGAAGGGGAGGGGGACACAACAGGGTGCAAGTGCACCGCTAGAGTCCACTAAATCCTACACTGGTCCTTTAACTAACTGTTAGTGTGTAAAACTGTAACAAGCACGGCCATTGTGAATACCTGCAGTGTAATATTCTGTGAGCAGAACGATGTTTAAGGTGTCCTGTTATATGATTTTAACAGAAAGCCAACCAATCTGAAACAAGCACTTTCAATAGCCCCTATGTAACTGAATTAGGGATGCAAGCAGGACAGGGTAACATTCAAAACATCTGAACACTTTCTCCTGAATTTAACAAAGCTCCCAGTTTCAAACTTATAAGTCAGGGAGACCTTAAAGTTAGCTGGACACACATTGTGATTGTTGAGCCAAATGATAGTTATTTGGCTGTCACATCTGATAATTCCAGGTTGGACACTGTCTGTTCCAGTCTGGGTGAGTTGGTGCTGACAGTCCAGAGATAAAATCAGAGAGTGGTGTTCAATCATTCCAGAGGCTGCTTTTCACCCTCATAAAAATCATTTTAAAACAAGTTTGATTTTTAGGGCTGGAACTGGGGCAGTTAACTTAGTGGGAGAAAAAAAAATAGTGCGGTATGCCGTGAATGAAAATGATTCCATAATTCAGTTCATCAGGTTTAAGTGCAAAGCTTGTATAAAATGTATGACCAAATTTTCTTTCCTTTTGCCTTTTACATGCACACTGCAGCTGAATTAAACTTCCTGCAGTGCAAATCGAAGCTTTAGATTGCATTTAGCTGGCTCTAAGGCCAACAACAAGCAAGCTTATGTCTTATGTAGTTTGTAACTATATATACACACAGTATACAGACTGTAGCTGAATATACCTGATTGAGCAGCAGTACCAGGCTGTTTTCCAGGGCTGAAGGACAACCAAGTTCTGGGTCGGCACAAGCTCCCAGCAGCCTCAGCAGGGGGTGGAGGACGGCTGTGTGTTGCAGCAGAGGCTGCTGGGACTGGCCGATGAGCATCTCAAACAGCTTGAGCAGCGCCCCCTGGCTGTCTGGATCCAGGCCGCGGCGGAGGTGCCACTGAACCAGGCACTCCAGAATATTCTCAGTAACCACCAGCTCCAGTATGGGGCCCATGGGTGGCACGCCGCCGCCCTCTGGGCTCTCGGCAGGTCGCTCCTCTGCCAGCAGACATAACATCTGGTCGGTGTGATTCCTCACTGCCGTTAGGTCATCGCTGGAGGACGAGGGCTCGTGCTTTTCCAACACCCAAGAGACCTGGATAAAGGAACAGCGTTTTAGTGCGATGCTTACATGAGGTCTTTACACTGTTGTCCTTCTGTGCGGTGTGTGACCTCTAACAGACATTTCATTTCAGTTCATTTCAGTTCAGACTTGGCTTTGAATTCAGGCTTATTAGACGTTACGTTCATTAATCTGGACAGTTTGACAAGTCACAGTGGGAAAAATGCAACGTGGAGCATTTTCTGGATGCATATTACAGCTGTCAGTGATTACACAAAATGATGATGATTTAACTATTAAATGTTACACAGGGAGAAGTGAATGAATGAACAACTTAACAAGGGGGTGATTTTGGAGGCAGTTAATGCCATGGCATACTGAGCCTCTTGATTAAAACACACCTTTGTTCATATCAGAAGTAACTCCTGTGCTTTTTCTTTTAAGTCAAAAAGGCTGCTGTGAAAAATGTGTTGGCTGTATTTTCTACCCTTAATATAGAAAACTAGAAATTATAGATGCATCTACTTTAAATCTTTACAAAATAATTGAATTAATTTACTGAAACCTAAAAAGCATTGACTAATATTATATATTCCATAAAGGGTTATCACTGGCACTGCAACGGTTATTTAAAAAATGTTTTAATATCATTGCGTGACAGTGGTTTAGAAAATAAACAACATGACAAATTAAAAAGAGGTTTCACAACATTTATCACAAGCTAGATCAGTCAGCATGACTACGGTAATGATGATTTTGCAGATGTGAGTGGCTTGTGCACATAAGAGATGTGCTCCTTTGTGCTTCAGCAGCTTGAAGTGTGTCGTGAATGTATGAGCTGGAAGCCAGAGCCCACTTAAAGAACTATGTTGCTAGGATCCAATTTGGTGGATGCTGCGCAACTCATATTTGTGTACACACACATGTTCCATTTCATCTCTTTTTTATGCTTCATATTCACTTAACATGCAGCTGGACAATAGAGACATACACCTATACCCTGCTTTTAAAAACTATGTAAACATTTTAAAAATATTGATGGTTTTCTTTCACCCCAAACACATGCATTTTTGGTACAGTACCATGAATCCTGCAGATAGATGTAGGAGTGCTTTTCTATCTTGTGGATATGTTGTAATTCAATTGCAACATATCCACCTCCCACAACAGACCAATAAGTATCACTCAGTCTTATGTTGCCTCCGAGAAAATTCAACAGTCAGGCAGTGGCAAGGCTCTGTAGCCTATAAAACCTCCAGCTAGGGATTGGACACAAGCCAGTCACATTGTTAAAGTAGACTGACTGACTACTCTCATCAGCAACAGCCAACTGAACGTGTGAACATTCACACTTTGTGTCTGGACAGAAAATCATTCACTAAACAATGAAAGAGCCTTAAAATTCTGACTGGTCTCGTTATCGTTTACTGTTAACCAAAGGTGATCATTAACATTGTGTCTGCGTGCTGCTCAACACAAAACATGCAAATATTTTCTCAACCATTGTAAATGACTTTGGTAGCACAGGGCTGTAACAGGTTTAGTGCAGGAATTACTAACCAATTATCAAAAGAAAATCATTCTTCACTTGTCAAACTTTTTTTGCTCCTTGATTAAGTCATTAATCAGGCACCCCTTCCCCTCCTCACCCCACAGACAAACCAAGACAGCGGTGACTGACACCTTCAGCCTATATTTCCTTTACATTTTAGCAAATCAGCAACATTAAAAGTTTGCCAAGCTAGCTATTAGAAAAACCAGTCCAGAGGGTAGCCATTAATGTACAGATGACGATCACTGGACTATTTAGATACTGAAGAAAACAACAACAACAACAAAAAACTGTGATGATTCTCAGGAAAGTACATCTTTTCACCTCCGCCAAGGAAGTTATGTTTGTTTAGTCTGTTTATCTGTCAGCAGGGTTACAGACAAACTCCTGGCTTGATTCATCAAACTTGGTGGGAGGGTATAGCATGGGCAGACCACGGGGCAGACACACAAATTATTTAGTCACTTTCGTTAACATTAAGTAAATTGTAACACCCTATGGCAAAATGAACTGAATCCATGGTCGAATCCATCATAATTAAAGTGAATGGTGTGCCGTGACTAGATATACAACACAACAACAGAATACAAACAGCCGATTCAAACATCCCTGTAGAAACAAAACACCTTGCTGGAGGTCTGTGCTCTCTGACTGCCCTTCTAGTTATCTACAAATTCTAAGTGGATTTATGGATGTCTATTTGCCATAACATCAGCAATAATGATACCCGCTGAAATCCTCATGTGTGAGTGTTCAGATCTGAAATGCGTTATGACTCATAGAAGAAGGAGTGTGAAGTAGACAGCTCTCCCTGGGGAGTTAAGCCTCACAGTTTGAAATCCTCTGGGTTAAATGGACACTCTGTTTTGTTTGAGGCTTGACTTTGCTCTTTTGGTCGTTATTTCTAACGCTTACGAACGAAAAAACAAAAAACACTCAATTCCCTGCAGTCAGGGAATGCAGCAATATTGGTGCCAACAGCTTTGCAACAAAGAAGCAGTGAGACATTTACATAAAAAAAATAATGTAATGCCTATTTGAATTCAAACTACTTATTTGATCTACTGCATGCACACAGTTACAGTAAGTACTATCAATTAAGTGGTTAGGATAATATTGTGTACTAATAAGTGTGGTTGCCCTGTGCACTTTATGGTAAATCAGAGTATAGCAGACATGCTGTGTACCCAGAGGTTGTGTACGATATGTTATATTATCACAACAACATGTGTCATTTTATCTAGATTCGAGAGAAGCGGTGTGTCTGTAGCTCACCTGTCTCCAGTGGTTCTCAAACACCATGAGGCAGGTCTCCGGGTCAGCAGTGCAGGGGCTGGAGGGGGCGGCACTCCGGCCAGACCGACTCCCAGGACCCCTCGGATTCAACCTGCTCAGCCAGCTCATACTGGACCCAGTGAGAGGTCACAAGAACTCAAAGGCGAGAGAAGGTTAAAAAAAAAAAAAAAGGTAGAATATAGACGCAACAGAGAAATTAGATGGGGAATAAATGGGAAAGATGATGAGGGAAGGAGGAGGAGACGGGGAGAAGAGGGGGTGAAAGGGGAGGGAAAGTGTATCCAAACAGAGAGAAGGAGGGGAAGGAGGTCAGCTGCAAACGCGCTGTCACTGCCAGTCAGTGTACGTCTAGGAAAAGCCCGCTGCTGCTTTAGAATCTGTGTGACCCTGTCCTCCCTGTAGACCCTGTCATCCAGTCTGAAGCCAACACCACTCCATAGCCAGTCAGGACGGGCACTCTGCGCTGTGTGAACAAAACAAAAAAACACAACATCCACATCAACATGCCAACCTGAACACAAGTTTTTTCCATGTGTATATTACATGAATATCTTCCCGTACTTCCCTTAGTTTGGCTCTGAAAATGTAATGCAACAGGCTTTTTTTTACCCTACAATTAAACATGCCTGAAGCCCACCATGTCAATAAAATTCTGAAAGTGTATTATTCATGCCTGCAGGTGGAAAATGGATCAAATATTCAATATTCACAGTATTTTGAATTTCGCATCTTGTGATTTTCTCTAAAGGTTTCTTTTTTTGGTTTATTTATGCCTTTTATTTTATAGAGACAGCTAAAGACAGACAGGACAAAGGGGGCAGAGAGAGAGAGGGGATGACATTCAGCAAAGGGCCACTGCAGTAAGGACTTAGCCTTGGTACATGAGGCACGCGCTCTACAGAGCACCCCCTCTTAACATTTCTATAGATAAAATAACATGATGGGAATGTTGGCTAATCCTGGAAATTAAATGTAATTTAACATTTTTATAATGTAGTATTTCCTCACAGCAGCCCTACTCATTAATTAATTAAGTTTAGCCTGAAATGGTCTCATACAAGCAGACATATTAAAGTGACAGTTACCTCAAACACCCATTCATTGGGAAATATACCATTTGTGCTGAAGAGCGTCTGTCTTTTTCCTGTGTTTTCCAAAACAAACATAAGTCAGCCTCTACAGTATGTTGTTGCCAGGGAAACCATTCAGTCCTTCTGTGGAAACGCTACGGCCAGTCCACCTTCTGCTTAACACGGGAGTAACTGTCTGTTCTGGATGCAAATTTCAGGCAATTATGTTGCTTCAATCATCCGCCAGGTTAACGACAGATTCATCGTTTAAGCTTATTAAAATATGAGACGCATGCTTTTATCCGATGAAAGCTTTACTTAGACAGCTGACACGGGTGACTTTACCCCACAGCGATTGTAAATTCACTGTTTGAATCATAACTATTCAAATAAAACAAATTGCCACCCACTCAAAACTGCACTGGTAAATGGAGCTTAAAACATATTCCTGTGGAAGTGTTTGCTTTAATTCCTAAGACTGCTCTGATTGTTCCGGCGTGGTTGAAAAGGTTAATGCCAAACTGTTTTTAAGGTAGTGTAGATAAATATGCCTTAAAGTAGGTGGTACGGACTAAAGTCATATGACTTGGACTTGGGTCAGACACTTAGAGATCTGATGACTTCTGACTGACTAGACTTCCCTAAATCAATGAGACTCTGTGTTATTCTTTATTGAATTTTTCATCCAGCAGCTGTAAGAGTCTCTAAACACAAACAGGACCGTAAGAAGGCAGGTAAAATGTAACATCCACACTTCAATGATTCACCAGCTCTGAGCAGATGAGTTAATGATACTTATTGTTGTCTCTCTGAGAAAATTCCGTCCTTACTGTAAATGCACTAAATGAATCCACACCCACATGAAAGAGTCAAAACAGAGAGATCATCAAAATACCAGAAAATAAAGTATGCCTATGATTCACCAGGAATGCGATTACCTTAAAAGCGCGTAAGCCAGTCTGCCTCTGTATTTACAGCAAAACTTTCTGATTGTGACATTCAGGACTCGCATACGGAAATTCTAAATGTGTCAGGTCACACACACAGCGTCTCATAAAGACTCATAAAACAGGTTCAAAGTTCAACTATAGACTCCACTCAAGGGAGGCTGCCTCCATAAAGGAAAGAGAGTTTGTCAAAGGTTAGTGATCAAACACACCATACCACAGCTTGCCTTGACTGTTATGATCTCACACCAAAGTCTACAGGCCAAAATACACTCTCTAAGAAGTTCAGACAGACTGAAAGTGGAGAAAAGGCTTCCAATGTTTCTGACTCCCTACAACGGCCAAACTGACAGCCACACCTGCTTTCTGCAGGAACTGTCCAGGTGTACACAGGTGTGACAATGGGCAGAGGTCTCTGCAAATACTGTCCTTCACATTCCTCACATTTCTAACTCCTGTCTGTTTTTGCTGTTGAACTTCACTGATCACTTCTGACGAATGTGACATGAATCTAGATCAAGTTCTGAACAGCAGCTGTGACAGACAGTGAGCTGATACAGACTCCCCCTTCATCCAATGGGCATTTTCAAGGCAGCGGCAAAGCTGATCTTAAACACACACCAGAAAATGCACCCGTGTGCCAACCATAAATGCAATACTGTATTTCCTCTAGCCTATTTAATGATTGCTTCTACCAACAAACACATCCGTTCTGTAACCACAACCCCTCGCTATGACAACCAGCTTCGCAACCCACCTTCAAAAGCATGTATAACTTTTTTTTTATCTGTAATCCAAACATATTCAGAGAGAGTAGATTTCAGCCTGAAAAGGGAACTAATCAGACAAAACACATCTTCAGACTAATATTGTCATGCTTTACTTTCACATCAGTTCTGTGGAGATGAAGTCAGTGACTGTACCCAAGTGAAACAGAACAAACTTCACATGCATCAGTTTGTCATTTTGGTTTAACATGAAGCTGTATAAGAACGTTGCCTACATACAGTCTAGGGCTGCAGCTTTGAAACTTATTTTAGATCAATGGATTAATTGTGTGGTCTATAAAATGTCAGAAAATAGTGAAAAATGCCCATCACAATTTACCAGAGCCCAAGGTGGCAAATCTAAATGACTTGTTTTGTCAGACCAACCCAACAGTATTTAATGTACCATCGCCGAGATTGAGAAAACCAACAAATATATACGGATAATATACGGACTGATTAGCCATTTCACCTCTAATGCAATATTAAATATGTGGGCATGGAAGCTCAGTCTTGACCTTGCTAATGAAAGCTGTGAGATGCTTTTTAACGGACCTTGGGTTTGACAAAAGGAACTCAAAGTCCTTTCATACTGATTTACAGCAAAAATATGTCCTCAAAGAAAAAGTTCAAAAGTATTTCCATACTTAAATATTTTCACTGACACATTCCTGTCAGCACTCAACCATACCCAGCCGTACACGTGAGTGGATTCATATTTCTATCAGAATATAATTTGTTAAAGTGCCATGCATTTGGTTAATGTAACTTCAGCATTTGCTTTTGATCAACAACTACTATTTATTAGGTGTATTAAACAACAGATTACTGCAGAATCAAGTGTTTCTGACACAGCTGACAAGGTACAGAAAACCAAATCCCTCTCTGTGAGTGACTTTGAGGCAGAACAGTGCCCAGTACTAATTTCATTTAGGACGTTCCCAGATGCTATCATACAAAGTGAGACATCAATCACTGCGGTGTTTCGGGTCATGTGTCCTGCTCGGTCTGTCACACTGTTGGCGCACCTACCTGCAACCATCTAATAGTAACGTTACGACCTTGCTTTTAAACTGATTGGCTAATTAACGGTATATTAATAGTATCTGGGCTTTACACAGATACTTGAAGTCCTCATCCTGACCCTGATCTCACATTAGCCAACCGAAGCGGCTTACGTTACGGTCCGCCGGAAAACAACAATCAATGCGAGTCAATGGCGAGATGATATGGCAAGCTAGTTGATGATGGAAAGATAATTAGCTAGCTTAGAAACGTCAAGCATGTAATATAGTTAATTCATCAAGTTGAAGTGATTTTAATGTAAGGCTACTCGGTTGTTGCTTACCTCGGATATTTCTAGGAGTCTCAACAGTTGTTGTGAGGTGCAGATTTCCACGGATACCTGCTAGCTGGTTGCTAGTAAGTTAGCGCCAGTGGGTTGCTAACGACTAGCAGCTAATGAATTCCACAATGTCAGAGCAGTAAACGGACGACCAGCACGCAAGTAACCGGGAGACAACTGGCGAGCTAGACCACACTGAGCCGGGGGAGTTAACGAATGAACCACTCCTTCTTTCGGGCTGCTGTGCATCCTGTTAGCGACTGATAAACATCCCATTTGATGATTTCTCAAACACTCTTCTCTTTCCCGCAGCCATCTTACTTTAACTCCTCCCACACGACTTCTCTGACTCACACCCACAGCGACGCTGCTCCCCTCTGCTGTATGAAGGGTTTAAAGTGCCGAAATTAAGGAGCAAAGACTGTGACCCAATTCCATACTAAACACTGCCAAGTGAACATTGTGTACTAATGTTGATAGGGCCCGGTAGTACAGGGAAACTGATGAATGGTGAGAGATCAGCTCTGAAACCAGCTCATGATGGACGAGCATCATTCATGGCCTTGGAAATAGTAGGTTTGATCAACAGTTTGCTTAGTTGTCATGGAGATGTATTCAGTTGAGATCTCATCCATATGACTTTGCTCATCCCATGTTGGCTTAATACAGAGTTGGGGTTATACAGAATGGTCAGAATTGAAGCAGGCCCCTATGGGTCAAGCTCCAAAAACACTGCATCCTACATCTACCCTAATGTAACTGAACAGGGTCTTTTACAGCAGTGGTTTTCAAACTGGGGTCCTTGAGCTGGTGCTAGGGGGTCCCAAAAGGAGGAATAGCATATTTGAACTTTTATCAGCTCATTGACTATGAGGACTGTTCAAACCTAAAAATGAAAATTAGACCTCCTTCCATAAGAATCAAAATACTCTCAAATTGGGGGGTCCGTGGTCTAATGTGCATCTATTGTGGGGGAGACAGTTTGGGAACCACTGTTTTACAGTGCGTTACCCTCCTTGCCTCAGAAATTGAATCCATTACATTGAAACCCCCAACACTCCTTGTGACAAACAAAGTGCAGAGTGGGTTACAGAAAACAGCCTACTGCTCAATGTCAGCAAAACCAAAGAGCTGAGTGTTGATTTTAGGAACAAAAAGAGGCAAAGACACACACCCCTGTTTACATCAGTGAGACGCAGCAGGTGAATAGGTTTAGGTTCCTGGGAATCAACATCACAGAGAACCTGTCATGGTCATCTCACATCTCCTTGGTTAAGAAAGAACAGAAACGACTGTAGTTCTTAAGGAAACTTAAGAAAGCAAATTTCCTGTGCCAAGTTTTTGTTAACTTTTACAGAGGAGCCATAGAAAGCTGGAAACATCACAAACTGGCATGGGATGTGCACAGGAAGACTCTGCAGCGACTAATTAAAACTACCCAGAAGAAGAAGCATCAGTGGTATTGGTGAGGTGCCTGAGCAGAGCCCATGGGAAGACAGCACCCACCCAGCCACAGCCTGTTCACCCTGCTGCCATCTGGGAAGAGGTACAGAAGCTTCTGCTGCCATACCACCAGACTTAAAGATAGATTCTCCCAGGCTGTGAGCCAATGAAATTCTTCCTCAACAATTCATCATACAAATTAGTCTCTTTTTTATGTCTTGTGAATCAATTTTTAGTTTGTTTTTAAAAGTAACATAATGGGAACTATGTAAATTTCATTCTACAACCCTGTGTTGTAAATGACAATAAAATAACATTAAATCCTTGAAACAAACTAACTGTGTATGAACATGTGTAAAAACAGTAAAGTTGTATTGTCCAGGTGATGAATTTTACCAAGTTAATGTAGCGTTATTTAGTTAGTAGCAGATAATAATATAAGATATGATATTTTCTATAATAATGAAACATAAGCCAGATATGAGCAAAGTGAAAAATAGGGGGAAGTTCAAGATGTTACAAGATGTATTCAAAACATTTCATTTAGGATCAATTGTGCATTTGCACTCTAGCATGTTTGTGTGAGCTTTCTGTTTCGGGTATTGAAATTGCATTTTTTTTACAGTTATTTTCAAATTTGCCATTTAAAGATTACATTTTTCATTTAAATGTCAAATGTAGGAAATTTAATTTTGGTCAGATTCTCTTATTAGAATAAAAATATATTATTGTCTCTTTCAATTTTCGGTTTTCTCTCTTAATGTGAAATACTAATATTACAGTACAATACAGTAGAATCTGTATGTTTATTGACAGTGACACATTCTCCGTACTTTGGGCTCTATACTCCAGTGGTTTGTTGTCTCTACTGCAGCAGCCTCTGGGTTGTGTAAAGGAAGACCTCGCTGGTTTTCTTGGGGAAGAAGGAATTCCCAGAGGACCCATGACATCTGTTGTGGTTTCCTTCCATAGAGACCTGCATCACCAGGCAGTGCTCAGGTAGACCTGGGTTTGTTGTTAGGTGAACCGCGTAGTACTGCCTGATGCAAGTCAACAGGGCTGTTTGAATTATTGTCTGAAAAAGTTCAACACTCATGCAGGTCGTCCTCATTTAGAAAAATGTGTTAGTCCAAGGCTACACTTTGGAGAATGGATAAAACTGGTGAAGTAAGTTTTAAAGGTAACCAATGGCAGAGACTGTTCAAGAGTCATCGGGGGCAGAAAGAGGAAGGAGAAGATGGAGTCAAGGATGAAGGGAAACGTAATCTGGATCAGAAGTTGAAAATTAAGTGAGTAATTAATAGTTGGACTATACATTTTTACGAAAGAAGAAGAAATTAGATTAGATTAGATTTAGTGTGATGACATATTCAGACTTAATCACTTATTAACTGATGAAGAACTAACAAGCCTCTTGGATACTAATAAGTATTTTTATCCACAGTAAGAGCATTTTCTAAATTCTATATTCTTGATTTTGCATTTTCATTTGTTTGGGGATTAAAGAAAAAACGAAACCTCACAGTTTAAAGTTACAGGCAAATGTTTACAATGTCCTGCTGTGACAGATTGTTTTTTATTCATTTACATATCGACATCATCATGACTGATCCTCTTTTCCCTCTCTCTTTCTCTTCATCATCATTTCCCCCTCAGCTGGAAAGAGTGGCTGGTTGATCCAGCAGAGAGGTTTTATTATGTCTGGCTACAGGTCATGATCTTTCCCATTGTCTACAACACAGTGATCATCATTTTGAGGTAAAAACATGTAATATGATCAATATCAAATAGTAATCATACATATAAGCATATAATCTGTAATCATTTAACATCCCTTGCAACCCAATGTCATTGGTTATGTTTTCTCAGGACGTGCTTCACTACAATTGCAATGAGCTACCTGCCTGTGTGGCTTACACTGGACTATCTGTCAGACTTCATGTATATGGCTGACATGATCATCACTCTTCATACAGGTAAATATATCAGACTATATTCACAATTTATGTAATGTACTTACACCTTTCTAGGTTGAGAAAGTTACAAACTGCCAGACTTTACTCTAAAGAGCCTTAAACACATTTATATGAAGGTAACGTTTTTTCATAAAGAGGTTATTTTTGTGTATAATTTCCTACATGTAGGAAACTGTAGACCTGTAGAACTCCTACGTTCCTTTTTATATACGAATCTCTACAAGTCTAAAATGCGTGTTATGATATATTGTTAAAAACACAAACATTCAGCTTGGTCGCCCTACATATAGACAATTATATTTTTTAATTACAATTACATTATAGTCCTGCTGGTTGATATAGGGTTTCCACAGAGGCTAGTATGGTCTGTGGTTGAACACTAGGGTTAAAGGAAGTTTCTGATTTTTAGAATACGTTCAAGCTAACTCAGAACCACAGTTACAATAATACTGATCTTTACTTGTATGATCAAAAGTAAGGTTTTACAAGGCATTGCTCAGAGTTCTGACTTTTGAACTTAATACTTAGATTTTCAGGCTTGTCGTAATGAAGTAAAATTGCATTTGGTTTTTTATCAGTTATCAGCCATATAGCATTAATGCTGCGAGTTGAGTTAAAATATGTAAATACTGTTCACGTCAACATCCAAGTTAAATCGAAAAAGCAATCTTGGCTATAATTTAAGTCAATGGATGTTAACCATGACCATGTTAACTCACACATGAGCTTTTTCAGATGAAGTCATAAACATGGAAATCTTTCTTATTGCTACCTTCCATTTATGATATGAAAGTAATATTAACTCTTGCAAATCAAAAGGATTTGATACTCCCCAGTGTTTAGTGCCAACTTATGCTCTGACTAAGCCATTGTACCAATGTGTGAACTGTGTTCTGGCCTTTTAAACCTTGATTTTCCCTTCCCAGGTTACTTGGAACAAGGCATCCTGATCAAGGACCTAACTCATCTGAAGAAGCGCTACCTGCACTCAACACGTTTCCTAAGGGATATGATGTCCCTGCTGCCCACCGACTTCCTCTACTTTGTCTTTGGCATCCAAACTCCGCTGGTAAGGATCAACCGCCTTCTGCGAATGCCACGACTCAACGAGGCCCTGGATCGCATGGAGACGAGAACCTCCTACCCCAACACCTTCCGTATCTCCAAGCTCATGATCTACATCTTTGTGTTGATCCACTGGAATGCCTGTCTCTACTTCGCACTGTCAAGCTACATCGGCTTTGGAAGTGACCGTTGGGTATATCCCAACATGACCAACCCAGAGTTTGCCTCCATGCGTCGTCAGTACTTTTACTGCTTCTGGTTCTCTGCCCAGATTTTCACCACAGTAGGCGACACACCACTACCAAAACGAGAAGAGGAGTACTTGTTTATGATTGCAGACCTGCTCATTGCTGTGCTGGTGTTTGCATCGATTGTTGGCAATGTTGGCAATGTCATCACAAGCCTAAGGGACCGTGACAATGTCTTCTTCCCTAACCATGAGCTGGTAAGTTGGAAGATGAGTCTTTCATCTGATAACCTATATGGTCTGGCACCAGGTGAACTGACTGGGAGATGACTTCATGTTTAACTCCATTCTTTGGTTAGGTTCTACTTATTTTCTTCCTCTTTCAGGTGAAAGCATACCTGCGTAGCCATCACATTAGCAAGGAGCTTAGACAGCGTATCGACAACTGGTACCAGCACCTTCACATCAACAAGAAGATCATGCGAGAGAATGAAATCCTGGAGCAGCTGCCCGTACACTTGAGGACAGAGATCGCTGTCAGCGTTCACCTTCCCACACTCTCCAAAGTCACCATCTTCCAGAGCTGTGAGAAAAGTCTGCTGGAGGAGCTAGTGCTTAAACTAACACCTCAGGTAGGGGTGGGAAAGATGGCAGTCTGAGGCTATGTTTACACTGCAGGCACAAGTGACCCAAATTTTTTTGCTCATATGTGACTCATCTGTTTTGTTCATAACAGTGTGAACAGCACAAATAACACTGAATATGATCTTTTCAGCTCTGATTTGGGCCGCTTTCATATGTGGACCAAATCAGATAGAGGTCAGATTTTTCGCAATGCGACCTTCTGTGACCTTTTTACACTGTGAATCTGACATGGGACATATTTAACAAATTATGTGAACAGCCAAACAAACCAAAAAATCCGATTCGAGCAATAAATCAGAATTGAGCACTAAAACTTGTAGTATGAACGAAGCCAAAGAGTACAGGTGGCTCAAGGAGTTAAGAAGGGTGTTTGGGTTGGTGAGCAATGTTGTTAGTGTGCATTGAGAACAGAAAATAGCACTTGCAAAGGGCTGGGTTGGTGGTGGTGTGTAGCCATGTAGCTAAAGTCTAGTCTGATATCGTACATTCATGAGTTTTATCAAACAGTTGTTAATACAGGATGACCATCATTTTATCCTCTATCACGATGTGATTTTAACAGTGGACTTAATGATGTTTTTGTTACAGCAATCTGCCAAGAATACATGTTTGTGCAGATTTGTCAGTCAGTCAATAATCAGTATTTGCTAGATATCGTTGATCAGCTTTATACATATGTAAGAAATCTGACTCCAGTTTTAAGTAGCTTTCAATGTTACAAATGAACAATTTTCAGGAAATAGCCGGACAAAGTAGACACACAGCTAAAAACAAGGACAACAAAGCTGAAAGATAGGTAACATAAACATTTAACTATAATCTGCATAGGTGAAAAAATAAATGCATATAAATATATATATAAATACAAAATTGGAGCGTGTGCTTAAACTTATATTTGACAATGACAATTATATATGGAACATTATATGAGAGGTTACAAAATGATGAACCAACTGTCACTGACCATTGTCATTTTTATTCTGTAGGCTTCTTGGTCTAATAGAAAATGTTGTAATGGTAGCACTAACTCATCGTGGGATTGGGATGGGAAAACCAAGGCTCAGGACTGGACAAGAAAGTCTGCGGAGTTCACGTGACAGTTCATTAATATTTAGGTTCAAAGCCCCAACATTATTATTTAAATATTTAAAAATGTTGCCTATGTGGTTAGGGGTAGACCTACCAATAGTCTTTGGGTAAAAACTCTGTGATAAGCAACTTTATTTGGAATCAGGAGTAAAAGGCATTGGGTTGGGATTGGACAGCTAGCCCCACCAAAAGCCATGTTGCTGGGTGTGAGCAATAGTATATAAAATGGAAAAAGTCAATGTGCATTATAGACAGCAGTCAAACATATAATAAATACAGAAGTAAAACAACAAATACAATAAATACAATACACACAAGGCACAAGTTCACGCCATCTCCTCTGTTGTCATTGTCAATGATCATCCAAACCATCCCAAATATAAGACAGAAAACAAGGAGCAGCCCCTGTCCATTTGAAACAGAACAACAGTGAAATATAGAAAATAGTTGAATTTGTGTTGTGTTGTAACTTAATTGCCTCTTTTTGGATTCTCTGGAATAGTCTTGTCACATAAATTTAAATTCAACCCTTTCGCTACGGCCAGTTTGTTATCTAATCCATCGGATTAGATAATAAGGAATTGTTTTAAGGTTGAAGAGGTTTCTCCTGCCTTTTGCCTTGCAGGTGTTCAGTCCAGGAGAGTACGTCTGCAAAAAAGGAGATGTGGGCCATGAAATGTACATCATCAGAGAGGGGAAACTTGCAGTTGTAGCAGATGATGGTGTCACAGAGTTTGCTGTACTGGGTGAAGGGAATTTCTTTGGGGAAATTAGTATCCTCAATATCAAAGGTGAGTCCAGTGTCCAGTAGAACAGTGCAAAAAGGTAATATACGAGACTATTATTATATTATATATATATTATAATATACGTTATCATTATATTATTTGGTGCAAAGAGAGACAGCTTTCTGTGGAGCTTTTGGATCTCACTAGTGGCTTTGTACTCATGGAGGTTAGTCCTTACCTTAAATTTGTCAAAGATAATGTGCATGAGAAGATCCTGTGGATGAGGTTAATGAAGGAAATTACAAGTCCTCTGAGGTGGAACAGTGAGGCCATAAAGCCAGAATGCTGAAGTATTGTACAACACCAGTATGAGTGTGTGATAGTATGAGATGATCACCCAAGAGGGTGGCAGAAATATATGCTGATATAATCACATATATCGACACCTGCTTGGAAAAGCCCCTAAATGAAGATACTTAAACTCAAAAACATTACATTATTGTGTCACATTAGTAAAGCATTACACAGAAATATCTAAAAGTGGCATTAAAAACCAATAAATTGTTTTATTTCCAAATGTATTTCTATTTTTCCAAATAATATATGTAAATATGTATTTTTTTTTATTTAACTTAAACTTATCACTTCTATCACTAATCTAATCATTAAATTGATTTCTGTTTTTAACGCGTTATTTTTGTGTATGTGTTCAATTTGACAGCATTTGACATCAAACTGGGGTGGCCAGGAATGTTTTAGGCCTGAGGGGTCTCTAGCATGGTTGTGCTGTCTTACACTTATCTCCATGACATTACAGCATGTGTGCCTCAGGCCAAACTAATTACTTTATTCAAGCTATCAACAACAAATACATTTGAGGATTGCTGCTTCCAGTCTTTATGCAAACACATTCTGGTTTTATCTCTGTACGGGGTGCATAACTGGACAATGGACACTATTCAACACGAATGCCAGTGTGCTACTGATAACTAGCTGGCTAATTTTTGACACCAAAGCAAGTCATTGGTGCAATAACATAATAGCATTATTCACTGCAAAGCAACAAAGCAGTGAGCAGTACTGTTAATAATCCCATGTTGCACACATTAGCCATGCAGAGTTAATAAAGTATGTTAACATCTGTAATGTTAATCTTTTAATAGAAAATGTTAATTAAACAACTATATGTTTAATTAACTCCTTATATATAACTCTAATAATTCTGACCTTTCATTAAAGAGGGTTAGCAGCAAGAATATATCCCTAATGTTACCTTTAACTCTGAAATGAGCTTGCTTGGATAACAGTTCATATTTTTTCTATTGATAATTTTTTGTTTTTTAAATATCTCACCAAACTTTTATTGAAATCACACCATGTTTTCTTTTAGGTAACAAGTCAGGTAATCGTCGCACCGCCAACATCCGAAGCATTGGCCACTCTGACCTGTTCAGCTTGTCCAAAGAAGACCTGACAGACGTGCTATCTGAGTTCCCTGCAGCCAAACGTCACCTGGAAGAGAAAGGCAGACAGATCCTCACTAAGATGGGCATGTTGGAGGAGAGTGGGGAGGGAGAGGAGGTAGAGGTAGAGAAAGTGGAAACCAAGATAGAAAGGCTGGAGAGGAACTTGGAAATCCTACAAACAAAACTAGCTCGACTTATGATGGAATTAGAGTCCAGCAACCGCAAGATGCAGACCAGAGTGGAGCAGCTGGAGCGGGAGGTGGCAGCACTAGAGTCTCAGCCTCCAGAAGATGGGGAAGAAGTAGAAAGAGCACAGGGAAGAGGGGAGGGGGTGGGAGGGGAGGTTGGATGGGAGCGAGAAGAGGCAGAGGGAGAGGAAGAGGAGGGTTCAGATGCAAAAGTAAAAAAACAGGGAGACGATAGTAATGATGTGACCAAAGAGGGAGATGGAGAGAGCACCAAAAGTACAAAAGAGGATGTGGAAAGGATGATGGAGGGAGATAAATCTGGGCTGAAAGACCCTGATGATCAGGGAAAGCAAGAAGAAGATGATGAAGAGAAAATCAGACAGAAAGGAGATGACAGACCTGGGAAAGGAGATGGAGCTGAGATTGAACCTGAAGGCGAGAAAGAAGAGAAAAGTGGAGAAGGAGAATCTGAAGAGGGGAGAGAAAAAACTGAAGAAGACTCAGAAACAAGGGAGGCGGGGCAGAAAGATGAAGGGCAGAAAAAATGAATGGAAAAGCAAAATAACTGAAAATGAGAATGAACAAAGGTTTGTATGTTTGTGTTTGTCTGTAGACGTTTGTTTTATTTTAATAAAAGTACTGAAAACCTCAACATCTCATTGACACACTTTGTGCAATACAACTTTGTACCTCTAGATGGCAGAATTGTATTCCTCCTTACATATACTGTCAATGATCCCTCACTATGTACATGAAACAGCATGACAGATTTATTTTTATTTGATGAAATACTTCATGACATTTTTGTTGGTTGAGTGTTGATGAGCTGACTGCTTTTTAAATGAATTGAATGAATAAATGCTACATAGACCAATGTATATTCATTGTGACACTGATGAGGTTATTTAGTTTTTTTTTTTATTTAACACATAAAAGAAAATATAGGTTATTAAGAACAGATGTTATTATTTTGATTGAAACCCTTAATAAGCAATGTTTAGTATTAATCATCATTAGTCTGACCATATGGTAAAATGGTCGTATGTGTTTCACCCAACCAGGACTGAAAACCCAAATAGCATTTAGACCATTAAACTTCCCACTGAAAACTATAAACCTGCTAGGGGTTAACAAGCTCTGGGACAGTGACAAATTGCAGTGACATTCTAGGATTACAGCTATAAATAACTTCTTCAATTCAATGTGTAAAGAAAATGAAATACAATAACATGTTTTTAGATATTAGATTGTTGTCATCGGTTACCCTCACCTTTTTGCAGTAAGGATTTTTAAAATCAGATTTCTATCAAAGAGCAATTTAAAAATGTGTTCAAATATAATTTATATAATACCTTGCAAAAAAAAGATTGATACAGGGTAATTTAACGTCACCAGGGTGTAACACTAGACCAAGTGGCCAAATTGTGTTTTCTGTTTTCTGTGGCAGAAGAGGTTTTTGACCAGTCTGATTACTTAAAATTTGATTCCCATGAAAATACCTCATGCACCACATCCCAAGTGATTGTATACACTGTACAATATTACAATATCTAACAATATAACAGGGGCCACTCTTTTGTATTGTGACTTATTTTACATTTGATTGAACGGTTTACTGATTACAGTTATTGGCCAGCTGAGTACTAATTTTATAATAATAATAACAAACTTTTATTAAAGGAAAATATCTGAAGACGTATTCAATAAGTAATACAGACTTACTAGTTTACCTTTCAACCTGTAGTGTCTGTAATAAAAAGCACAGGTTGCCCCTTTACTGACGCACTATTTACGCACTTCCCGGAAGTGCAGTGGGACACAGGCCCCATCGATTCAACACAACTGCATACATAAGCATTTACTAATAATAAAGCTCTGTTTGTATGTCATTTTCATGGAGTACTACCGCTAACACATATGGAGTGTCAAGAGGAAAAGCCGATAATCTACACTATGGAAAACAAGCCGATTGTGACATGTGAGTGTTTACTGAAAGGAGACGGTCAGTCGGATTTTTTTCTGGTCTTGACAGTTAGCAAGCTAGCTATATTCATTAGCTCGGTTTAGCTAAGCTAGCTCGTACCCTTATAGTGACCAGCCCGGAGACGCTGCGTGTCTGTGTGGCGACTGGCGGCTCAATGTCTACTTGTCAAGGCTCTAATGTGTTCATACTTGCATACTGCACCGCTGTCTGTGCTTAATGTGCCCATGGAAGACGGTATATCTCTCAGCTAGCTCGTAGCCACAGGCCCAGCTAACGATATAACGTCACGGCCAGGTGCTGCAGTTTGGGAAAGATATCACCAGAGCCCGTCTATTCTCTGAAATCATCCAGAGCCCGTCTATTCTCTGATATCACCTTGTTCCCTGCTGGCCAGCCACTGCTCACTCTGCTAGCCTACATACATTAGTCGCCATATGATGTACGGGGCGCTGGGGTCTGTTCGCCATTCATAAATCCCTTGGAGTCTTATGGAAGCTTCTCACTGGGGTTATTTTAGGAGCCGGCTCTGGTAGTGGGTGCCAGGCTCACCTCACACCGCAGGCTGCTCCAGTTTTAGGACGGACTGGTCTAAAATGTGCTCCAGTACAGGCAGGTGAATCTAGAGGCTCTGTGAGGTCGGAGTTTTAAAGGAAATTGCAGCAGTGACAGTTAATATGTATTATTTGTTGGTGGTCACAGGTTGCCCCGAGTGAGAGATCTCCTGGGTTTCCTGTGGGGTTATCAGGTGTCCATAGTCAGGTGTATACCTGAAATCCTCCTTGTTACATTTGGGACTTTTGCATTGATGATTAGATGCAGAAAGAGAATTGCTCACAAGTAAACCCTGTACAACAAACATAAGGGTACCTCCATGTTCCTTTAAAAGAGTCTGTAACCATTGGGTACGGTGATGCATCAGTCTATCTCTCTAGATGCTGCATTTTCTGACCTAAGCAAAGATTACAACCTGCAATGTTAACATTTTTTCCTGTTTATTCAATCAATGGCTCAGATTACAAGTAATATTTGTAAAAAAAAAAAACAACTGAAAACCTGCCAAACAGTGGCTTATTTCTGAGTCCAGCATAATGATTAATGCAAATTCGGAACTGTAACTGGTATGTAACATGAGAGACACTAACCAAGGCTGAGGTAGAAAAGGATACTTGCGAGTCAGAATGAAACTGACATGAGCATTTACCTTAGACTGTGTGAATTTATTGTTCGGTTCCCTGTGTAAGTAACCAGTTGCCTAACGTTGGATGCAGAAAACACCACAGTTCTGTGAGGAAGGTTACAGATGTTTGGTGCCTTTCTTAGCTACGAATGACCTCTGTTAACACTCTTCTTCTGTGTTTCTGATGACTGACCTGTGAGATCATTCATTTGAATCACCTGCAGACTTTAGATTAAGTGTAGCTTTATTCTAAAGAAGATGTCACCATGTGCTGAATCATTGATTTATAGATTTATTAATGAAGAGCTTGAGTCAGACCTATGAATGTGCAACTCGTTGCTACTTCTTGTTTTACTTATGTTCCCAACAAGATGAGCAGTGTTATAGTTTTACTATTATGTGACCTTGGGTGTAAAACTGAGTCACATGGTCACAGGGATTACTGGTGTTTGCTTTGCAGCGTTGTGTTTGATAGCAGTTTTTGATAGTCTTTGTGAACATTCAAAGTTCAGTTTTGTCTGGAGCATGCTGGAGCTTTAAGACCCTGGAAGGATTAATGAAATCAACTAACGCACATATGAACTAAATGTGTATATTCATTCATTTTAGCAGTGCAGTTTCAGATCAAAAGGTCACACGGGTTCATAATAAATATCACCAAATTACAGTACTTACCAGCAGCCATGAACTGTAAAGATGCCCGGTTCATATTTTGTCACCCTTCTGATTGTACATGCAAATTGCTCGATTCTTTTGAATTATGACACATGACGCAATATGCCACATAGCAAAATCCACATCCAGTGATGCTTTGGATCTGTCCAGGTGTTAAACAGTGGGCAGCAAGGCTAATTGATTTACGATGCAGTCAGACTGTCAGCACAGGGAAATGCACTGGCCCAACTCCAGCACACAGGATTCAAATAGAGCTCACTACGAGGTTTAAGTGCTGACGGTCGTCTTACAGGATGTTTACATTAACACTCGGTGAACTGTACAGGACTAGTAGTCCTGTACCCTTGGGGGTATTTATAAAAAGGGCTTTTTACACGGTTCATTGGATGTGGCCCAGTTCCAGTGTAGCTTGAACAAGCTCCTCAGTCGTACAAGTGACTGTTTATCAAAATGCACGCAGCTACCATGAATGGCAGCATGAACATTTCTGAAATGGAGCACTGGCTGTGATAAGTGAAGCCACTTCATTGGGCTGGGCTGGGGGATTCTTCCAGGAGTCATAGGTGATGACAAAGTGAGGGGCTGGTCCACAGGACTGGTGATGATTCTGAGGAAGGACCGACCTCATAGGTATATCTGCACAGCACAGACTCTCATTTACACAAATGAAGCAGCTGAGTCCCTAAAATGTAAAACCCCTCAAATTCAATCTGAACGTCATCACCTTAATCTCATACTCATATGCAATGTGCCTGAGAGCAGTGCCACAACAGAGCTGTTGCTGCAGTACTTAAGGACTGCTCTCCATATTTAACAGTATGAGATAAACTGAGGGGTGGATTGTTCTATTTTTTTAAACATGTCTAGGGGGCTTTTAAGATCCTTATTCTATAGGAATAGCTGAAGATAGACGGGAATGGGGGAGAGCGAGGGGGTTGAAGGCTGGAATCAAACCTGGGGTTCCGCGATGGGTGGATTTTTAAAAGCACTGATGAGGCGTAAACAAGTGCCAAAATGAAAAAAAACAAATGTTTGTCTTTCTAATAGCAAGGCTGATACAGTTAATGTGGATGTGAGGCTTCTGTGTAGGCTAGGCCAACATACTACCATAGTAGGTGTTTGTAATTGTAAAGGAGAATAGACAGTGTTTGATTGAAAGTCCTGGCTCTTTAGAGCGACAGGAGGCTTTTTGTTGTGTCCCTGAGATTATGCTTTCTGACAGTTAAATCTTTTATAGCTGTTGCTGTGTGTTAAAATGACTCAGACTCTGTGCACTTGGGTACATACTATACGTGGATATCACATGGTGATGAAAGGATAGGTCTAAGGATAGAGGGTGTTGCATGCTGTGCAGATTGAAAAGCCCTCTGGGGCAAACTTGTGATTCTGAGACATAAATGTCATGACTTGAGTTGAGCTGTCCTCTGAAACTGAAAGCTGTTCGTAATGCAGTGATTACATCATACGGCATACATTTGATTCCTGCGTCTTAAAAAAGATTGACTGATATGATGCATCACACATCTCGAGATATATAATACACCACACATGTGGCTATTTTAGTTTATACTGGTTTTAAACAGCTGCAGAAAAGGGTTTGTCAGTTCAGCCACACAATCAACTCAACATGAAACTCCCTAAAGCATAATAGCAGTGAAAGCATGAAATGTGCCCAGACACATACAGGGCTAAAATCCAAAGCTTTTAGAAGCAGGCTATTACCAGTCTGACAGCAGAATAGACAGAAATGAGTGAGTAATCACTAACAGTTACTGGTGCTCCCAGTGTTATTTAGTTAATTAGTCTGCAGCCTTTATTCTGCTGTAAATCACAAAGCAATTACATTTTTGAAAAGTAAAGCGTTGACCAATTCCCCAGACATACATAAGAGAAGTAGAGAATTAGTATCTCTGCGTTTTTGGAAAGAGATAAACAGTTGTGCTGGAAGGCCTTACGTAGACCCCTATCAACGGTTAAACAAGTTTACTCTTTCAAGGAAAAACATCATGGAGATCTACAGGGCTGTTAAAAAGGAGAGGGCAGATAAAGAGTCATTTACCCGTCCAAAGTTTGAGAAGAGAGTGTTCTGGCAAAACCTCAACATCCTTTATTACATTCTCAAAGATTCTCAGCCTCACCTTGTTTGTATGTTTGCTGTGTTCTGAGACAGTTGAGCGTCTGAGGTTTTCTGGACTCACTTGTGTGCTTTAAAAGTGTATAGTATGGACTACACTGCAGTAGCTGTTCACTTCAGTTTGTTCTTAAGAAGGCTGTTTAATAGACACAATTCCTGACACAGTTTTCCCCCTGTAATGCCACGCAATCCCATAATTTCTTCCAGACTCATTGTTGTTTTTGGAACTTAACAAAAACAAGACTTCTGGTGTTGTGTTCTGCATAAAACCTGCTTTTCATTTTGTCCGCAAATGTTCTCTTTTCTGTCAGTCAGATTTTTCATTAGAAGTACTCTTTGTAGCATTCGTACCCTTTTCACTTTGTACCCCACTTTTTGGGGATATTTTCTTTGTATTTACAGTAAAATGATTACAAATGACAACATTTCTAAATGCTCTTTGTGCTGCCCCTTTTATCACAGGTGCTGGAGACCAGAGCTTGTTTACATCTCTGTATACCTCATTGGCCCAACAACTTCCCAGGGAGCCAATGGAGTGGAGGAGGTGAGTACTTCCCTGGTGAATGCATGATGGAAAAACATAGTAATAAAAATCCTTTTCAGCTTTTGTTAGTACTGGGTTAGAGAGGAGGGTGTAGTTGAGAGGCTGCTCTTTAATCTCTGTCCACTGATATTCAGTGGTCATGCTTTTCGGTACAGGTGGCCCAGCTTTTAACATCACACCACCATGCAGCATGATTTTGGATGACTTATTGATAATATGCTGGAGTTTAATGTAGGTGTGACGATCCAGTGCAGTAATACACTGCAGGTTGGGGGGAAATGGAGTAAGAGATGTTGTCTCCCCTTGAATTTTAGGAGCTGAGAGAGTAAAAGTGTTCTTCTGCCTTTTTTTAAATATTATTTTACATTCCATTTAAGGCTATTGCTTATTAGTGGCAAGAAATTTGAATGAGTCTTAGAAGGATATTAGAAATGACTATCAGAGTTTTCATGTTTGTGACATCCAACTTCTTTGATGTGTTTAGAAGGAGATTATTGTACATTAGCAGGATGTCTGTATTCTGTACACTGTCACCTGTGGTGGTTTTTTGAGAGTGAGATTAACAACGGTGAATAAACACAGCCCCAGGGGTTCTTGTACTGAAGGATGTAATGTTAAACCCTGGCTCTTATCGTCAATGTTATGCTGTAACAGAAAGTTACTGGATTTGTTGCTCAGCAAGAAAGAAGAAATATACTTATAAAACAGGGTATTCCATAGGTATAATGTAGACATGTTTTGTCATTGGACAATAAGGAAAATAATATTCATCGTAAACACCTGATCACCTCCTAAGACTGATTTCTTTTCTGTCCAGGACGTATGGCCGTGCACCAAAAATGATTCACCTCGAAGCTAATTTTGTACAGTTTAAAGAGGAGCTCCTCCCCAAGGAGGGCAACAAGGCTCTCCTCACCTTCCCCTTCCTTCATATCTACTGGACTGACTGCTGTGTAAGTAACACACACACACACACACACACACACACACACACACACACACAAACACACACTATGCAAAACAACCTCAATCATTCAGTCACCTAGTAATTTAATTAACAGTACTGGGGAACATTAATTATTGCATTGTGCATTATATGGGACAATAAAGGACTGTTCTATTCAGCTCTTCTCTATCTTGCTGGCCATGATTCAAGTGCTGTTGTGTTGACAACCCTAGCCTTTCTTTGGGCGTCCTCCAGTTGGTTTAAAGATCTATATTGAAAGAACTCTCTGTGAACACTGATTTTGTGTTTCAGTAAAGTCACACACACAATGAAGTGTGATCACTGTGATCATTTTCTGTTTGTTGTCAGACAATTTCATAGATAGTCATTTAATTTGTGGTCATAACAGCTTCCTGATAAAGAAGAGTAGTGAACAATATGCTGCTGCAGTGAGAGTTTGGATTAAATTACTGTTTAATGGTGATCATGAAGTTGTCTGCCACAATAAATATTAAGACACATCAATGAGAACACTTTTATTGTGTGATCAGTTGTGTTTATGTACAAACTGATTGATCACAGAGAGCGGTGGCTGCAACACAAAGTCTGCTTTTTAATGTTGCAGCTGTCCGACTTGTGTCCAGGAAGTCCCAAGAGCTGAATGTGTTCAGGAGGATGGGTAATGTCTGCTTGTCTACACTATAAGAATAGATGAATACTTTTGGGCATCCTATCAGGGCAAAAATAAGTCGCAGACAGCTCTGTATGCAAGATATGCAAACTCCTAACGAGAGATACAAGTTATGCAAGTTCAGATCATTGTTGCATAGCATTTGCATACATCAGTTTCATTGGAAAGCTTTATTATTCAAATGCATCTACGTTGCAGTGTATTCTTTGAGAGGTCAGTTTGGTGGAAACAGATCAACTTTGAGAGGAAAAGAATACATTTTCAAATGTATCTGCATTATTGTGCACATGGCCTTACTTGGTGCACTTTTAGGAGCCTGCAGACACCAGTCTAAACTGAACTTGACATCTACTTTGCAAGAGTGCTTAGGGAAAGCAGACGGGAGAAAAACAAGAAGGGAAGCAGGAACCTGCTGCTGCTGACTGAGCAGCTGGTTAGTTTAAGGAAGTGCTGTCATCAGCTTATGACTCGTGACATTTCCTAAGGTCTATGCCTCTAGTGCGGGAGTAGTGAGCCTGTATGTGTATGCAGTATAGAACCAGTGACATTAACACCTGTACAGTATTACAATTCAGTGCAACAGACATGCAATAAAGACTAGCTTTGTGGAATTTACACTGCTTTTGTTGAGAATCACCACATCCTGAACCACCACCATCTGAAAGGGGCTGAATAGCAACAGATTGTCAGATTCTTTTTATCTTTATGTATAATTGTCACATTCATGAGTTCATGAGTACGGTTGATACATCTATTGACTGAAACTTCTGAAATGAATACCTCCATTTTTTGCTTAGCTTCATAGCTTATTCATTAAAGGTGCTCCAGTTAACACAAAGCAAAAGGCACTTTAAAATCCCTAACCTTCACGTACTTCCCCTACCTATAGTTGGTACAGGTTGTATTAGATTGTCCAGGTTTTCCCCACCAGTCCTTTGTCACAGTTGCAGCAGTAGTGTGTGCTCCTTTTTAAAGGGGAAGGGCGTAAATAAAGGGGGTAAACTGTGGGGCGTAAAAAGGTACAGGTTGTCCTGCTGGAAGAGGTGTAACAAAGCCAAAAGAAGATTCAGGGACATGTCAGTCTAACACAGTCTGTACACATCAACACAGTCTTGACAGTATGAGCAGACTGACTGTAGCAGCAGGTTAGGGCTGCACCCTCCCCATCTTTTTCTACCAGGAGCAGCACATTTTATGCGCACAGTGTGACCATATCGCAGGTGGTGAGGACAGGTGGGCTGTTCATAACTGTGACCTGGACAGGTTATAAAACCACAGTGCACCAACTATTCACATCTGTGTCGTATGTAAATAATACAAATGCTGCTAAAATGAAACTGTTCGCATGCAACTTCTGCTGTTTAACTTGTGAACACAAACTGCAGGAAAGACACAATCAGCCCTGTGGGAGGCAGTGGCACACCTGTCGAACTGGGTCAGGCTGTCCTTCGAAAGGAGAGTCAGTCAGAGCCGATCAGTCAGTGTAACTGAAAACACCTGTGTGTTTGTTTACATGGGCGTGTACGGCCTTCAACAAAGTCTTATGTTGTACAAAAATCAATCCAAACTGTCATTGGTACAGTTATATTTAAGCTTCAGAGATTTAATTTAAGTGGTTTCTATTATCATGTGATGTCTCGTTCAGCTGATAAACATTCACAACCCAAAAATGATTCCACAAACTACAAGTTTACTTCCAAAACATTGTGCAACAGTCAGGCCTTCAGTTCCTCTCACTGCCAGTGGACACTGTTACATAATAACTGACTTGTCATATTATATCCCAGCTCTACTCAGTTACAGCCCATTTCAAACAAACAGTACCCTCAAGTAGCAGTATTTATCTAAATCCCACAACATTCATAAGGATTTATAAAGAGTTCGGTCTAGATCTGCTCTATTTGAAAAGTGTCCTGAGATAACTTCTGTTATGAATTGGCGCTTTACAAATAAAATTGAATTGAATTGAATTGAATTGAAATCAGCAGCCTACAGGCTAAAAGGTTGAGTTATGAAATGTAAACTTGCTGGCCAGCATTCTTTTTTACTATCTGATATGTTCTGATGTGGAAACTTCCTCATTGGGTACAACATGCAGGTTACTTAAAGGAGAAGCATCATTTTTCTCTTCATCATTCAGTTATAATTTTTATGTGTCTGTTTATCCAATTTTCCAGCATCAACAGTTTTACATGCAGTATTCATTCATGTGTATAATTTTAATGTTTTAAGGTAATTTTGGGAGGGCAATCAGAGCTTTTTATAACCTCCTGCTGTAAAGAATAATTATTTTGCTTGAATAATAAATTTATTTCACTTTCTTGTAGGATACAGAGGTGTATAAGAGCTTGGTGAAGGAGGACATGTTGCGATGGCAGAACAGCTTGAGAGCTCACGGCTCAGCAGACTGGGTAATCATTGTCGTGGAGACCAACGATAATAAGAAGAAGAACAAGACCAACATCCTGCCTCGGTCATCCATCGTGGACAAGATCCGCAGCGATTTTTGCAACAAACAGAATGACAGGTGAGGACAATCCCCCCCATAAACAAGTTGATTTAGATGAAATGAGCAGAAGACGATGAGAATGGGTAACATACTGGCGTCCTTCACAAGACACTGCCAATCCCCAGTTCCTCCTGTTGCTACAGAAACTGTAGAAGGTGATTGTTCTGCTCCTATATAGAATGATGTGAAATGTGATCATATAGTGCAAAGAAAAATGCAGAATATTCTCTGGTTTCAGCTTCTTAAATGTAAGCACTCCCTGCTTTTCTCTGTTGTATAAGTTGAATTAAATAGAATATTTGCATTTAGACTCTAGATCAAACAAAACAAGCAATTTTATAGAATAAACAGTAAAGCAGTTAATTTGAAAAATATTTGTGACATTAACCAAAAATAATTTAATTATAATTTATTCCTGCCCTTTTCATTTCCCAGCAGGCAATGAATCAATACCTGCTGAAGATAAGAAACCATGTTGATTCAAATGTCATTCCCCCTTTGACACAGGTGTGTGGTTCTCTCGGATCCTCTGAAGGACTCCTCTCGGTCTCAGGAATCTTGGAATTCCTTGCTGCTCAAGCTGCGAACTCTCCTCCTCATGTCCTTCACCAAGAACCTGGGTCGCTTTGAAGACGACATGCGCACGCTCCGAGAGAAACGCACCCAGCCCGGCTGGAGCTTCTGTGAATACTTCATGGTCCAGGTAACTAGACAAAGAACAGGCACAGGGATTGTCTGCAAAGAAAGAGAAGGAGATGTTGTGTCACAAATCTTAACGGTCTGAAAAGGCGTAAAACGTGAATGCTCCATCACCTACCCCCCAACTACGGATTTGTTGATGCTATCCTCTGCCTCTTTTTGCATTATGTCACAGTTCAGTGTCTCACATGTGAGTGTGTGTATGTGTGTGTAATCGTGCAGGAGGAGCTGGCCTTTGTTTTTGAGATGCTGCAGCAGTTTGAAGATGCCTTGGTCCAGTATGATGAACTAGATGCTCTTTTTACCCAATATGTCCTTAACTTCGGAGCTGGAGGTAAGCAACCGCCACCTTGTACTACAGTTGGTTTCAGTATAGAAGTCCTCTCAAGTAGAAATATTTTTGTTTCCAAGATCAAAGGTCTATTTTAGTTTAGCTTTGGGTCTGTTTCTGTCCACAGATACGGCGAACTGGCTCGGCTCATTCTGCGCCCGGTGCGTAGCTGGAGCGGCTTGTTGCTACGGCGGCCCATTGACATGGAGAAGAGGGATGGGATCCAACGTGGGGAAGCCAGCCTGTTAGATCTGAGGAGCTACCTGTTCTCCCGCCAGTGCACCTTGCTCATCTTCCTCCAGAGGCCCTGGGAGGTCACCCAGAGAGCCCTGGAGCTGCTGCACAACTGTGTCCAAGAACTACGTCTGCTGGAGGTACACTGACTACAGTGCCACTTTTTCTTCATGTACAAATGTTTCCTTGTTTTCCTGCATAGAACCTACATAATTCCATCTCTTCGGATACAGAAATGAAAAGTGATCATCATCTAGATTTGGTAAAGGGACCAAATAATTAGGAATTGTGATGGATGAACAACAAGCTTGTATCGAAAACCTAAATGGACTGAACTGAATGTATGTTGTTGCTGTTGTTCAGGTGTCGGTGCTGGAGGGGGCGCTTGACTGCTGGGTGTTCCTCAGCTGCTTGGAGGTTCTGCACAGGATCGAGGGCTGTTGTGACCAGGCCCAGTTAGCTGCAAACTGCTCCCATACTGTTGGACTGTGGGCTTACGCAACTGACAAGGTAACAAAAAAATACTGAATCATGTAGCTTTGGCTTCAGTTACTGGTGTCATGATACCGTCAGTGGACTAGGACCTTGTTCTTCATACGTGGATAATAGAGTTATCCAGATTATAATGTTGACAATTTGACAGGAGCCTGGATCCATTGGTTCATTAATCTGGAGCTGTTGTCAGAGAAAGAAGTCCTTAAATCTAAAAGTGTCAAGTCATGACCAAGATATTAAATGGTAAACTCCATACAAGAAGTCATTTTCAGATACAAATGCCTCCCTGTGTTGATATAATGATGATTTGAAGAACATGGAGGTTTTTAAAAAATCACTATAATCTGTTACAATTTCATAATGAAGAGTTACTGAATATAAAAAAGAAAAGAACCAAACCAAAAACAGTTTGAGATACTTTTGACTGTTAGCTGAATGAGAATAAATAGGATTATTTTAGCCTGAATTAGTTAAGCCACATTTGATGAACAGGGCCCTAGAACTACTAGACATTGACCTTTAAACTCTCACTACACTACACTAAAATGTTTGGTTTAGTTTTTGTGAGGTCTTGGCTCATTCTGTCAAGCTGTTAAGACTATAATTATTTTATAATTTGTACATCATTTTCTACTGTATGCTAAAACCATGTGTCTGTCAATGTTTGGTCAGTTTGAAATTAGAGCACTGGAAAGTCTAGAAAGCAATTAATGTTACAGTATTTTATCATTTGTACTGCTGCATGGCTGAAGTAAATGTCTGACTCTGGCATGTTAGAGAATGATTTGCTCATTCTTTTACTCATTCATGTAAAGAACAAGCAATATTAGGTTGAAAATATAATATAAAGTTTGTTAACCTCTCTGCCATCTTCAGCTGAAGTCCCTGGGGGAACTCTGTGGCCTGGTGTCAGAGAAGGAACCCACATCTGAGGACCTGAACAGGACTGTGGATCTGCTGGCCGGACTGGGGGATGAGAGGCCTGAGACTGGTGAGTTTCCAGACTCCGCACTGTCTGTTGCCTGTAGCTTTTACAATGTGACCTGACCCTTCGTGGCTCTGATTGGCCCTCGTCAGCAGCAGTTTAGCTGATTCAGGATTGACTGGAGGTCTGACTCCTGATTGATCTGTTATTAAGTGCAGTTTATTTGTATTTATTTGCCTCTGTTCTTTTTTCTTCCACAAGCAAACAGCCATTGGCTGAAAACACTTGTACAGTAGGGATGTCATGAGAACTGATACTTTGGTACCAAGTCGGTGCCAATGTTTTAAAAACGCGTTGCTACTCGTTTTTCTACAGTACTGCAGGTACCGGGGAATCAGTTCTTCCAGACATGACAGAGCACCTCTGGTACAGTCTAAAGACTGTTGCACTGCTCTGCAGAGAAGCACAGAAGAAGACACTCTCTGGCGCAGATACAGTGTTTATTATACCAGCACGGACCTGATAAAGCAACAGTGAACAGCAGTGAACACATCTGAAACGTTGGCTTCAATCATTTTGATAGGCTCATTACGTGTGTGTGTGTGTGTGTGTGTGTGAGAAAGGGAACTGAAGGATAAAACTAAATGAGCAGATTAAAGTAGTATGTGAAATAAGTAAATAAGAAAACATCTATGAGAAAAGGGGCCACTGTTGTTACGTGGTTTTTAGGAAAAGGAGTGTATTTTTAAATACATTAGATTTCTTTTTTGTTTTTTGTTTTTTACCGTGGTATCGAATTGTTATCAAGTATCATATAATATATTTTCTCTGCAGTGTCCCTCTGCTGTAGTCTGCAGGGTGTTTGCTTTTTCCTGCAGACGCACTGTAAAGCAAAACCTCTGTTGTTCCATGTTGACAAGTTATTTTAAGTCGGCTTAGTGTATCGGAGCCTTTGGGGCTGGAATTTCCTTTTCACTGAAAGAAGTGTGGGCTTGTTCGGCCCAATGATGTTGATTAAGTTGTAACGAAGAAGCCTGACTCTTATTTGAGACAGTAAATAACTCTGTGCCTTGTTTTAATTTCCCTCCGCAGTCAACAGTTTGCAGAGCCCGTACAAAAAGCTGAAAGAAGCCTTGTCGTCCGTGGAAGCTTTTGAAAGGCACTATCTCGTAAGTGAATTTCTTGCCAAAGCTTGGTGTTGTATTTCAGTAGTTGGCAAAACAGGAAGTTCTCTTAATTCCTGTGCAGATTTTTACATATATTTTTTCTGATGTAATACCCTGGAAACCTCAGTGGAAACAGATCAGTTCATTATCTTTCTCCTCTCCTCTTTTCTTCCCTCTCACCCTCTTCCTCCACCACCATCACCACCACCACGTTGGCCACATCTTGCATCAGGAACTCTCTCATGCTGCTATGGAGATGTACAGGGCCATTGGCCGGCTGAGGTCTGCCAGACTGGTTGGAAAGAGCCTGGCTGAGTTCTACATGTAAGAAAACCTGCTAATTCCATTGGGTCTAAAAATAGTTTTAAAGGCTCTGCACGTCCACACTGGTGTTTTCAGTTATTCTGGCTGATTAGGCCTCTTCCCCAGAGCTGTCAGTCATTGACTGCTTGTAAACACCCACACACTCCTGAGGAGAGGTCTAATCAGGCAGAATAAATGAAAACACTAATGTGATACGATGGGCGTGACAGGCCCATAAAAGTGCAGTTGAAAGTAACATTTCAGTCAAATTTGGATGAGGGATAGTTTATTATTCCGCAGATGTGAGCTTTTTAAATGTTTTTATTTGCAAAAATAATACCTTTTACAGAAGTTAATAAAACAGCATTTATGCTAAGTGGCAGCACAGTTTCATACAGACATACATGATACAGACGAAAGACTAGAGAAAGAAGTATATTTAAATAATTCTCAATATCTGTATCTGTTGACACATGAAGAGTCTGGTCTTAAATTAGTTTCATTGGTAGCATTTAAAGATTTGTAGACAGGTACACAGTCTGTCAGTAATCTCTGTTTCTATAGATATGAAAAACAAGGTGATGCATTTGTGTGTGTTAGGAGGAAGGCGGACCCTGAGCGAGCAGAAACCTTCTTACAGGAAGCTCTGAAGTCATACGTATCAGAGGGATGGAGCCTCCCTGTCACTCACACCAGGAAACAGATTGCTGCGTGTCAGAAACTGCTGGGCAGAACTGAAGAGTATCCTTCAAATCATCAACCAGTAGTGCCAAGATAAACTTGTAAGAGGAAATAACCATCAAGGTGCATTTTGTTTTTAACAGCAAAAAGATGTTATAGTGGGATGGTTAAGGTGCTGTTTTATAAAGAATTGCACATTTTGCAATACTCTGTGCCTTTGGCACTAAACTTTTATAGTGCTGTACATAAGATAAGAGATACTTGAATCGAAAGTATGTCTTTGAGATTCTAGTTAGTTCAGTCATATTGTGCCAAGTAGGCTGTCCCACTGGTGATACAAAATCGTGTCCAACGTGCTGTAACAATAATAATAATAATAATAATAATACTTTATTTATGTAGCACCTTTTAAAGACAGACAAAGCAAAATGATAGCCATGATGCATAAAATATAATTAAATATGAAAATAATAAATACTAAACAGAACTAGTTGGATGCGACAGAGTGACTTTAGGTTTATGCCAGAGAGGATGGAGTTACAGTAGTTTAATCTGGAGGAAATGAGTGCAGGGGGTTCCTGTGCTGATAAAGGTGGTGTTCTTGCACCAATACACTGTAGTGTTTGGTTTCCTTTACAACCCACCGCAGCTACCTGCAGACCAGTGCCTTGTTGGCTGGTGATGTTAACCTTACCACGGAGGAGAGGAAGCACTTTTGTCAGGAAATTCTGACCTTTGCCGGCAAGTCTGGAGATCAGTGTAAGTGATCATGTTCATTACTGGTACAAGTAAAAACACCAATTTCTCCAACCTTTGTTTTAATATATCAGCTCACCTCATAGTGCATTATCTCTGACGTACTCATTGCTTTGCTGAGACACCTATTGTATTTTTTGGATTGGCATTAACTGCAGAAGTCTGTTCTTCATTAACACCACGTTTTCTTTTCTTCCTACACAGCTCAGAAAGTGACTCTCAGCATGGGTGTTTTCACTCAGCTCACACGGCTTCAGTTCCGTCCAGCCACAGCCTCGGTGCACTCTGGAGCCGTCCTGCAGGTGGAGCTCACTCTGCGATGTTTGATGCCCGTATCAGTGCACATACAGCAACTAGCTGCTAGCATTCACTTCGACCTGGAGCGCGGAGGGACTAATGGAAGGTCTAAGGGAACTCAGAGACAAACAAACCCAGGGACGGTAGAGTTTCATCAGAGTAACTCGTCAGCGGGTCCCCCCTCCTCCTCAGCTGCTGGTCCGCCTTTAGAACTGGATGAGATTCAGGACAGGAGTCCTTCGGACAATTCTCTCAACTCCACAGGAGTGGTGTGTAAAAACACTCATCTGGTCATGCGCCGTCATGACAGCCACTCGCCGCCGGACACGCCCAACTGTGTCAGCCCTCCTGCTGTTGCCATGAAAGAAGGAGCACAGATGCTGAAAGTGCAGGATGTAACGTTAGAGCCCGGGAATAACAGCATCATATTCACAGCACCAGTAAGAGACGCTTTGTTGCTACCTTAAATGTAGAAACAAAAATGGTTAACTAGTTATGTTTTTTTAAAGGGAGATTTGATATGTATCTGTTGATTGTTTTTTTAATTTGTATTTTTATCTCTCACTCTCTCAACCTTTGTTGATACATAAACATTCCTGCCACTCTTGTCTTCTCTCTGTTTGTCTCTGTAGAGTGGACAACCAGGTACTTACACGTTGCGTCAGCTGTATGCCACAGTGGGTCAGGTGCAGTTTGTGCTGCCTCATATCTACCCGTCAGTCCAGTATGAAGTCTATTCTCAGGAGCCCCAACTCACTGTGGAGCCTCTTTCAGGTCTGAATCTTTTTTATGATGGTTGACAGGAATGCTTCATATCCGACGTTGTGCTATTGGTTGCAATGTTTAGGTTTGTTTGCTGTTCATTTTGTGAAGCACTAAAATTACACACGTTTACACAATCCAATTGATTTCTTTTAACAAATAGACATTCTAAAAACGTGTTATCAGTCCCTTGCAGTGCTTACACTGGGGGGCTGCACAGCTTTTCGCAGGTTTCTCTTATTGCCAAAAATGCAGCTGGCAGAGGAAAAATTACAAATCATGTTTCTTTGACCTTGCATCAGACGTGTTTCTACTGCTCTGATTACTTCCATAAGTTTCCAATCATATATAAACCTCAATGCAGTGTGTGTGTGTGTGTGTGTGTGTGTGTGTGTGTGTGTGTGTGTGTGTGTGTGGGGCTCACTGTGGCTGTGTTTGTGTTTTTCAGAGCCACTGTTGGCAGGTCTGCCTCAGATGGTGAAGTTCACTCTGTTGACGGGTCACTACACTGTGAAGAAAGGAGACGCTCTGCAGCTCAGCAACACAGACACCATGCCCATCCTGCCCTCCAGCAGCTGCACCGCCCGTATCAGCAACCCTGCTGCTGGTCAGTGCACATTGTAATCAGAGGTTTCAAATATTTAAAGAGATTATCTTTGACACTTACAAGTAGACTTAATTATTGCAGTTTTAGATTTAGTTCAACTTATTTAGTTAGTATTTTCAATAATAATTTTAGATAGGATAGAGTTCTTGACAATCAATCTCTCTGCTGTGAATCTCTCTTCCTGTGTGCAGAGTTGGTGGGTGAAAGCGTCCTGTCCATTCAGTCGTCTGAGAAGGTGACTAGCATCAGCCTGCCCCCCACCCCTCCTTACCACACTCTGGAGTTCCACCTGGAGGTTCTCTGTCTCATCCCGTCTGGGGACGAACGTCCCGCCAACGAAAGGCTGACCAACGGCGAGGTCCGCCACCGACCACGCAGCTACAGTCACCCTGACACGCCCATGACCGCCATCGACCAGAGGGTGAGGCGCTCACACAGTTACACACTTTCAGAGATAGGTGCAACTTAGGGGGTAGGGATGGAGGCGTGTCACTTTGTGTTGGACTTTCTTTTGTGGTGGGTGCTGCCCATTTGTAGATGTTAGTGGACTCTATTTATAAGATAATGTTAGCTAGTGGATTGAGAATATAATTTACACATTAATCAATAACAAAAACAATCGTTAGCTGCAACCCTTCAATTTTCAGATAGACATTTACTTCTTGTAATTGGGCTTGTTAGCCGTCTTGTCACATGATACTTTAAGAGATGTGATAGTAAAGTCTTGTTGCTGTCTGTCCACAGATGTCTATCGACTGTCCGTGGTCGATCTACTCCACGCTGCTTGCCCTCACCTTCTACATCCCCTTCAAGACCAAACACTCACTGCTTTCTGCTGGTAACAGGTGAGCTGACGTTCTCATAGCAATGCCTGCATGTGTCACAAATAACACACGCGGTGTGTCTGGGAGTCCTTGGGAAATGTGATCTTTAATATAAACCCCTCAAAATACAAGAACCTATAGTTTACTTATTTAATATTTACATAGCATTCTTTAACGTGTGCAACACGTCTGATCTGCTACCTTTGACCTGACCCTGCAGGAAGTACATCCAGGTATGTGTGCAGAATGTGTCAGATGTGAACTTCACGCTGGCAGAAGTGAAGCTGACAGAGAAGCAGCACGCAACACTGGAGCTGCAGTCCCTCAACACTAAAACACAACAGGTGAGCAGAAAACAACTACACAGTCCCTGACTACAGGACTGATCAGTACATAACCTTCAGTGTTTGAAAAAAAATATATATATTTTATAATAATTATGGGTAATCATAGGGAAATAATAGACATTAAAATGATGTGTTCTATGGCCATGTTCACACTATTGATGATAAATATGAAAATACACTCCATTTGAGGGAGCTGAGCCTGAAGATGAAGCTCTCGATTTACCAGTTGATCAATGTTGTAAGCCTCATTTAGGGACTCTGGGTAGTCACAGAAATAATCATTGTGTTTACAAGCAGCCAAAATGAAGTTTCCAACAGAAACAGGGAGGAATATTTGACAGTTTTTGATCTGTTACTTTGGTTAAAGTTTGGGCAGTAAGGTTTTTCAAAACTCAAACAACATGAATTCATCTTTATGTCTGGTGTGTTTTTCTTGTAGCTTTTGTGCAGTAAGCACAGTGTGTTCTGCTTGTGGGAGGTGAGGTGGAAGGATGACCTGCCCTCCTGTCTCCAGTGTGTTTTCTCTGCCGACTTCTCTCCTCTCAACCAAGACATTTCTGCCTTCAAACCCTTCCACTACCAGTTTCAATTCGAGAGAGTCACTGTAAGTCCAATATCAAATTAAACATGTCTTAATATGGGGCAGCTGTCAGTTATGTTCCTGGTTTAATTAAGTGATTTTGCAGGAGGAGGCGAAATATTAATATCACGAACAGTGCGATTAAGCTAACATTGCATTAGTTAATGCATATGCTATATTATATTTTGAGCTATCTATCTCTTATCTAAGCGCTCCTACCACAGTAAGAGATGTCCCCACCATAAATAACCTCTGTTTGATGTTGTCAGACGTTGTACAGTGTGAGAGCGGATATCTTGCCTCCTGCTGGTGAGCAGCACTGTCGCTCTGGTTTGCTGTGCGGGCTGGAGGTGTGTATAACACGACTGACTGAACCTGCAGAGGGAGAACTGGCAGAGGACAGCAAGACTGACACTGATGGTCTCAAAACCACCAAACTCATGTATGAAGGTATGTACAACACCTTATCGACCAGGTTTGCTAAAGGATAAATAAAATCTGAGACGGAATTGGGGATTACAGCAGTTGCTAAAAGATGTGTGTATATATATATATATATATATATATAATTAAATAAAAAGGTTATGAAAATATGAATTATTTGCCACACTTACGATAAAAGTAAAAGATTCAAATAAGTATTCCAGTCATGTTCAACAAATATATGAGAACCACATACTTGAGTCAAAAAGAGAATTAAATTAGTGCTGAATGAGTTTGTTGATTAATTGATTAGTCAGTCGTCATAAAATTAATCAGCAACTATTGTAATAATTGATTTCCTGTTTAAACAACTTTTCAAATAGAAATGCCAAACATTTGTAGATTCCAGCTTCTCCCATGTGTTTATTTGTAGCTTTTCTTCTTGCAGTAAGCCATTTGTTCTCATTTCATTTAATATCTGAAATTTAATGGACCAAATAATTAATCCGCTAAATCAAAGAAATAATTGAAGGACTAATCATTAAAGAAAATAATCATCAGTTGCAGACTAAATTGAAAGTAAAACGTCTGTTTGTTCTGTCAGCTTTTTGCTATAAACACAGCTAAAGCCCAGTTTCAGACACCCAAATCTTTCTAGAATGAGTAGATTGTAATGTATTGTAGAGATATAACATAACATCCGTTCTGTGTGACTTAAGCGTGTGTGTGTGTGTGTGTGTGTGTGTGTGTGTGTGTCCACAGTGGCTGACAGCAGCAGTAACTGGGCGGTGTGTGGGAAGAGTTCAGGGATGGTGTCGATGCCTATGGCGGCCAGCGCCACCCACAAGGTGCAGATCGAGGTGATGCCTCTGTTTGCAGGACACCTGCCCTTCCCCAAGATCAAAGTGCTGAAGTACCTGCCTCACACTGCAGCAGTGGCCATCCAACCAGACCCTGGTAAGACACACACCCCCCCCAAACGTAAAACCACAGAACTTTGTAGACATTTATTCCGTAGTGAGGGAACGGAGACTTTAACTTTGTAGAAAACAGTAGATGGATTCTTTTTGAATTTGCGGTCATTCCGCATTATGTAGCTGGAAAAGAAGGAAAAACGATTTAAATGTCATTCAAGCAGCAGGTAGGATATTGAATCTCTGTCAGCTGACCATCTAACAGCAGTTGTGAGAACACTACTTACTGTGCATGATGAAAACACAGCTAAATATTGGGTGAAAAAACATATCAACGTTGCTAAACCACTGCCTGTTAGGTTAGATTCAGTTATAATTCAGGACAAACTTTATATTTATCTTTGGGCAATTCATAAACCAACAGTAAGCAGAAAGGACACTGGTCACAGCCACGAATCATCAAAGCCATTTCCAAACAAAACTTCTGCTGACTTGTTTGTCGTTGCCTTGTCATCCTCAGACAGCTGCGTGGAGAACGACAGTCTGTCCCTGCTGGACAAGGCACTGGACGACCAGGGGGACACGGCGAGCATCCGCAGTCGGGGCAGCGTGCACTCTGTGGGCAGTGGCGACCAGCAGCAGAAGGGTGTGGCCATGCCACGTCTGGAGCCCTTCAGCCCCGGACAGGTGTTCAACCACAGCTACACGCAGCAGGTCCTGGTGCTTCCCGCCACCGACGACCACATCATGGAAGTCAACGCTACATGACCCTGGTGGCGAGACCACCCGCCCCCTTCTTATAGAACTGAACCCAGGCCCTGGACGGACTCTGCTGAGCTTTTGCTCCGGGGCAAATCGGGTCCATGAGTCCATGTTGGAGACCGCTGCAGGTTGCCGGTATGGACTCACCCCTAAGCATGAAACGTTCACATCACTGGAGACATTATGGACTAGACACAGTGACGAGCCAATGACATCTGCTGAAAATTGAAATAAAGATTTTTCTTTGCCATACTTTGTACATAGCTCATTGGATGGATTTATAGTTATAAATATATAAATATATATATGGACCGATCGATCAGATCGGCGCCTGTCGTGCTCCTTCGAACTGAAGAATAACAGTCCTGATTGTCCCATGATGCACCAAAGCCCTACATGTGTGTACGCCTCGATCAGCTACTCAAGTACTGTAACTTTGACTGAGTGTGTCCCGCTGTAAGTGCTTCTCCCGAGCCCCTCCCGTCATCACTTTTACATTTGAGACTTTTGCCTTGACGATTACGTTTAAGTTGCCGAAATTAGCTGCTATTTTTTTTTCTCTCAAGTCAAAGTGAGGCAGGTTAACAAACTTGAATGCATCTTTGGAGACATATTCATAATCCTCACAGACGGCCAGTCTATAGAAATATAACTGCAGTTTAGAAAATAGACAATACACTATTTCCTGTAGTGAGGTTTTATTTTGATAAATCATTGGAATATCATCATCTATCTCATCCATCAGAGTTTTGGGAAAACATTTATTTGAAGTAATTTGAGGTGAAATATTCATTACTATACTACGTACTTTATTCTAAATATCAGTTTTATTACAAGTTTACAGCTAAGAGAATAGTTTTTGCGCCTGCTGGATAGAAAAGTCTTGGATTATGGATATATATCTTCAAAAAAATGCTGTGATATTTATGAAATCTATGTTTTTTTAACAAAAACAGTGACATTATTTTCTGACTCAAATGCAAAAATCGGCAAAACAAATCTCAAATATAAAAGTGTGGATGACACGAGGAGCTCAGGCTGAGTCCAGCGGTGTGTGTTGTGTGTTGTGTGTATCTGTTCAGCTGTGGTTCTGTGTATGTGCGAGGGTCTACGTGGACGTGTCTCTACGAGTGTGTGTGTGTGTGTGTGTGTGTGTGTGTGTGTGCGTGTGCGAGAGCGTGTGTGAGAGATCAGGTGAGACTTTTAAACAAGGATGTGCACATTATTGTCTATCTATTGTCTTACCTACCAGTGGATTGTTCATATACAGTGTGTGTATATTTATTCTGTGTGCGCGTGGGGTGTGTGTGCGTCGCCAAATCCGTGTCCGAGCTATGCACACATACCGTTAGGTGTTGAATAGATGAATGAAATAAGTCATTACTTGATTTATTCATTCATTTATTTCAAAGGATGAATGTCAGCTACTTCTGCCCCCCTCCCCACTCCCTGCCTACTCTCCCCCTGCCCCGGCGCACACACACAGAGTAACTACAGCCTCCTGCTCTTCTTTGACCACTGTACATACTGATCTGTAAATAATGATTCAAATCAAAATCATCTTTGATTGCCAACTATATTAAAAAATCATTGGAACTGACTCGATGTATGGTGTTTGTAATGTCAACAACAGCCTCCACTCTTCTGGTTTCAGGCTTTGAACCAGATTCTGAGCCCGGCTGCAGGGGTTCGCTCCCTTTCAGCAACATTAATGAGGTCCAAAACTGACGCTGAGTGATTAAAAACCGGGCTCACAGTCGGTCTTCCAGTTCATCCTAAAGGTGTTGGATGGTGTTGAGTTCAGAGCTCTGTGCAGGCCAGTCAAGTTCTTCCACAGCAAACTGGGAAGACCATTTCTTTATGGAGCTGGCTTTGTGCATGGGGGTGGGGTGGGAATATCATGCTGAAGAACGAGACAAAAGCCAGACGAACTCTATGGTCTAAAATATTACTGTATGCTGTAGTATTTAGTATGTGGACAGGGGTCTCAGACTTTTGTAACATATGACAAAAAATAAGACGAAACGTACAGAATAAATGGAGTACTGTGGAAGTGGTGGTGTCTTATATTCAGAAAAACTTTAAAGGTCCCCTCCAGAGATGTATATGATACGGTGTCACAAGCCAAAAATGTACCTAAAATAGACACTAGATGGCGTAATAAACTCACTGCTGGAGCAGATACAGTGCTGTGCACTCTGTTCAGTAATGACTCTGGATCATTGGTGATTAACACTAAGTCAACAGTCTGACATGTTCTCATCTAAGTGCTCATTTATATTTGAGCCTTGTTTTCTGTTGTGTTAGGTTTGTGTACTTCCAGCTACACTCTCCTCATGTGCCGTGGATACTCCAGTTGTAGATGAACATGGCGTGGGCGTGCTGTGTGCAATGGTCTGTGACAGTGGCATGTTTGATAGCTACCACTGGGGGGAGCCAAAGTATCTACTCTCTTTTCTTTCTTTTAATTTCTGATTCTATTTTTACACAATTTTAAATTTTCTAAGTTTGTGAAACAAAGGGTGAATTACTGTTAAAAACAAATGAAAGGAGAGAAAATGCAAGTAAGACAGTCAGTGCATGTTGTTGCTGAGTTCTTTTTGTGTGGCTGGAATCGTTAAAAAGTTTAATTGCCACCACATTTGGGAAAGGAATAATGATGTTCTCCTGACCTTTCAAGTAGTGCCACTAACTGCGTTAACACCTCGATGTTATCAGAGTCTTCATTCCTTTGTTAGACAGCAGTCTCAGTTCATAGTGAGGTCCTGAGACTGCGCTGAATAACCACAACTGTATCTGTATCGGTGCTTTTGACATTGTTAAATAGAATATTTGTTGTTCTGACCACCGAAAATGAAATTGAGTTCATGGCCACTGTGCTGTTAGACTGAAGATCTCCTCAGGACACACAGTGGCAGTTTTATATTATTCATTCATTCATTCAAAATGTTATTATTTGGATGAAATGACCCTTTAATCAGTCAAACAACTTTCTATTTTCATTTTTCCATCTTCTACTCAAACTACTGAACCTCACATTCATATGGCGAGAAAATACTGATTGCACCTTTAAGGGGCAAGTTGGGGACATTATAGAGGGGCCAATGAACTTTAGGATACATATAAGTATTCACAAAAGCATTATTTAATCAACAATGTTAAAACAGGTAAACTCCATATCCGCGTTTTTTTGTGGATTATCAGAAACCTGACCTGACCCGAGATCACTACCCCCCACCGCCTTATCTCCGTCTGTCTGCCCGCTCCTCATTAACATAATGATGCAGTTGCACACCGGGAGGTTCCACAGCTTAAAACAAACGTCCCGCGCTCTTCGGGAGCAACGTTTCAGGTGAGGAGCCAGCCGGAGTCCGACCAAACATGAGGCCAAACATGAGGCCAAACATGGCTCCTGTGCTGCTGTTAGCGGTGTGTTTCCTCGGTGTGTGTGCTCTCTCACATGTGGAGGAGATGAAGAGCCAGGAGCGGCTCTTCCTCAGCTCCCTGGGGCTCTCCGGGCGGCCCCGGCCCGCAGGGGGCCACCAGCCCCGGCGCCGCGTCCCCTCCGCTCTCTGGAGGATGTTCCGGAGGTCCGAGAACATGCAGGCCCAGGAGAGCGACCCCTGTACGGTGTCTGAGTACGGAGTCCGCGGCAACATCATCCGATATGTGCAAGACCAAGGTAGGCAGTGGCCACATAGATTCACTGTGGTTGGGAAAGGCCAACCAGCTGTCCTGTGAAGTTCAAGCAGAAAGCATCAATGAATTGATTCTTTTAATAACATTCTATGGTTAAAGGCCTGTAGCACAAATGGCACATATTGTTTTTTAAATCATAAACTTTTGAATTGTAAAACGTGTACCTGGCCCTATGGTGCCAAGAAAGTGAAGTAATGACTTATATTTGCACACAGGCGAGAGATGGAGAGAATACACACCATCATTTATTGATCAATGTGTTATTCAGTAGTATTGCAGAACAATAGTAAAGTTTCTAGTAAAGTTTACTTTGGCTTTCATGGAACATAAAGCCTAACAGACATTTTGCACAATAATTCAAAATGTATTATTATTATCAACCAATAATTTAATTTCCCTTAATTGACCGATAATGTGCATCCCTACTCATGAGCTCAAATTCTTGCTGTTGTACACTAAATCATGCTGCCAGTGTGCTTCAGTAAAACCCAGCTGTACTGCAGAGTGAGTGCAGCCACAGTGTGTGTGTGTGTGTGTGTGTGTGAGAGAGAGAGAGAGAAGTAATTGGTCATGACAAATTCTTCTTCTCCATGATTTAGGCTATCATGCAACCGATCTCTCCTTAAATAAATAGAAAAACAAACAGATAAAGCCTTGATAAACTGTAACGTGCTGGTTAAAATGCTCGTCTCCCTGCTGATGTTTGGCAGGCCGGCTGGTGTCTGGCTGGAGCAGCAGCTGTCAGGTCTGTCTGGAGAAGCAGCTCTTCTTCAACATGTCCGTCCTCCAGCCTGTGGAGCTGCTGTCTCTGGCTCAGCTGGAAATCAAGTTCCACTGGAAGCCCTTCAGATCTGCAGAGCTCCTGCAGGGGCCCCGGGCCCTCAGTGTGTCTCTGTATAAAGTGATTCGAGCCACGCTGAGGGGAGCCAATCCCCAGGCCAACCGCAGACTCCTGCTGTCCCAGTCAGTCCGGCTGCAGCCCGAACCCAGCTCTATCACCATGGACCTCACCTCGCTGGCAGAGAGCTGGCGCAAACCGGGACGCAACTACGGTTTGGTTCTGGAGCTGCTGCCTCTCAGCGTGGATCCAGAAGAGCTTCTCCCTTTTCACCCTGGGAACTCGCTCCCGTTGGAACCAGCCCTCACGCTGCCGCTGATCCAGGCCTCGCTGGTGGCCGTGTCCCTCAACCCCCACCAGTGTCGCTCCAGACAGAGAAGAAGCGCCATCCACCTCCCCGTGACACCCAGCAACGTGTGCAAGGCCCGCCGCCTCTATATTGACTTCAAGGACGTGGGCTGGCAGGACTGGATCATCGCACCGCAGGGCTACATGGCCAACTACTGCCACGGCGAGTGCCCGTTCCCGCTCAGTGAGAGTCTGAACGGCACCAACCACGCCATCCTGCAGACCCTGGTGCACTCCCTGGACCCGCACGGCACACCGCAACCCTGCTGTGTCCCCATCCGCCTCTCCCCAATCTCCATGCTCTACTACGACAACAACGACAACGTGGTGCTTCGACACTACCAGGACATGGTGGTGGACGAGTGCGGGTGTCGATGAGGTTGGGGGACATTTCTGATTGGCTGCTGACTATCAAACACCCACCAGTTCTTTTTAAGCTCCTCAAAGTCTTTTTCTTTTTTGATGATTTGTCAGATCCGGTTGTCAGTGTACAATGTTCTTTGCAGTCAGTGATTTTAAAGAAATTAAAATGTGTATTTGTTTGTTCTCACAGAAATGTAGACATATATTTTAATGTGAGGGCTGATGTTAATAAAAATTGCAATAAGGTCACACTGGAGGACTGAATTTGAACGTTTTCTTCAGTCACTAATTTTGGCAGAGCTTTCTTTACTAATCCACACTAGATTAGGGGTCTGAAAATCAAATGACCCGGACCCGCCTTGAGCAAGGCACGGAACCTCTCACTGCTTCCGGGACGCTGGCAGCCCATCCCTCCTCCATCTCCACATTTGCACTTGCCCTGTTGTGTCTGTGATTGTAATTCGGGCCTCTTAATATCTTGTTCTTCTTTCAAGCTTTATTGAAGCAATACTGTCTGTGAGTGAGGAGGAAAACCTTTAGTCTTTAATGAAGGAGATCTTTCTCATGTTCCCTGTTTTTTTTTTTTGTTTTTTTTTATATCTTTTTAATCACAAAAAAGTTTTCCTATCATCCAAAGACTTTACCCTTTTTATAGAATGAGACTGGAAATATGATTGCAGCCTTGCTTTTTTAGGTTTTACTATGCAGATGAAAGTCCTCTGACTTTCAAAGTTAAAACATTATACACTATATTTTCTAATAACTTAGAATTATTTATAGGATTCTCAACTATTTGACTTAATTACAAGGAAATTGTATGCTAGATTTATACAGTAAATCAAATCTGATCATTTCACTACAAGTTTTGCAGAATTGGAGCTGCAACAAATGATTCTGTGCACTGTCAAATTTCTTGGTGATTCAGTGCATTTGTTAAATAAAATGGTCACGAGTTCCGAGAGCCTGGTATGGTGTCTTTTAGTCAAAACACCTAAAGAAAGCTGAGAAACAGAGGAAGGCAGCAAATCTCCCTTTAGAGAAACTGAAAGCGGAGGAAATTTTTAACACTTTTGAAGAGTCTCTGTTGATAAACTATTGAAATCATGATTGTAACCTGAAGATAAAACTTGCATCTTCTTGGAAAACCAATGCTCATTTCAAATAACTATAGAGAAAACAGAATATCAGAAAGCTTAATACATACTCATGTAACCATATTTTTCTGCTTATTGTTGATTTTTGCAGCTTAAACCTTCGTATTGACATAAATATCCACATCAGCACATTTTCCGATATCCATGCATACTGTTAAGCACAGAGCAAGTCTTGGTCTTTTCATGTCACCACTGTTT